GTTCTGAAATAAAATCACAATAGAAAACTAATAAAGGCTCTTCAGCATAAACTTCTACCTATCTGCACCATCCAATATAGTAACTACCAATTTTTAAATTAATTAATTTCCACTAAAATGGCCACAGATACAGAATATTTCTAACATTGCAAAAAGACTTAACTGCTCTTAGACCTACATTAGATCCAGAAACAAATTTACCTGATCTATTTCCAGTCCTTAATATCTAAACGCACTGATAGCTCTTGGGGTCATGTATACCAAACTAAGTTCTTGCTTCCGTAAAAGACTTTGCATTTTATTTTCCCCAAAGTTCTCTAGACTTAACAAATTACCTGCTCTGAAATGATGCAACATGTGTGCCTCAGAGAGTTTCATGACATAAAGAATGATTTCCCTTCTCCCTTTGGGAACTGGAGGACCCAGGTGCCCCAAATAAAAAACTATTAAAAACAATTATAGTTCATAAAACAATAAGAACACCATGACCACTGCAGAGTTAGTTCATAAGAACATAAACCGATTTCCTTTTCACCACAACTTCAGCTAACAAACGTTAAGACCCTCTGCAGAGAACAATTTTTAAAAACAAGTTATAGTTACTTTGGATATGGCAAATTCCTGCTTTGAAAGAATAAGATACTTTGAAAAAAAAACAAAATCCTTAATTCAATAACAAGTGACTATCTAACCTCATTTTTTAATTGATGTTTTCTAACAGAAGATAAAGAAAAAACCTCTTGCAATTTCATTTCTTAGCAGCTCTCCACTGCTTATCAGATCATTTTCCAGTGCAAAGGGCAGAAGGATCCAGACAAACTTCTAATTTTAAAGTTTTTTAGGTTTACTCCCAAGTCTATAAAATTCTGATCCAAGCTAAATGCAGCCTTTCCACAGTGTCTCGGAAACCCAGTTTAACTCTGACCTGGGATTTTCTCAAAAGGAACACGACTGACATTTGGAGCCGAATTCTCATTGCGGAGACAGTCCTGTGCTTTGCAGGATGACAGCAACATCTCTGGCCTATACTCACCAGATGTCAATAATAGGTGCCCCCAGTTTGACAACCAAAAATGTTTCCAGACATTGCCACATGTTCTCTAGGGATGCAAAATCATTCCTGGTTGAGAACTACTGCTCTAACCCAAGAAGCATTCTTGGCTTATCTCAGCCCTAATTTCCCCACATTCATGGATGCTCCTTCAAATTTTTCTGCTGGCACTTTCTTTCACTATCCAACTCAGCCAACATTTACAGAACCTCTAAGATAAGTCATCAAGGGTTCCAGGAGAAAAAATAGGCAAGACAGATTACATATCGACCTTCAAGGAGATGGCTTAGGAGACTAGTACATGAAGAACTTTAATTAAAGACACCCAATCATATAACATAACTGTACATTTTTTTAAACTATGGAATTCTCATCTCACCAAACTAAAAATACCTTGAGGGTAAAAATTATATTTTTTCCTGGAATGCCAATACTCGGTGGACAACAAAAAGAAACAACTGCAAATTTCAACATCACAGGTGGCAATTTCATATAGTCAGTAAAAATTCTAAAGCTAACTTGGATAAGTTAAATTACCCTCTCTCGTGTATACTTTGTTCCTCTATAAAATGATGGTTGGAAAAATTAAATCAGATAGTAACAAGTAACTCTTTTTCTGTATTCTGGCACAGAGTAAGCATTCAATACATATAAGCTATCATTCCTATTATTAGCAATAAATCTTACCTCAAAAGGAAGAGCTTAACCTGGACTGCAATAATAAATCCCTACATGACGTAAACAGAAATCAACTGTCACATTACTTTCTGAGGAAAAGCAGAAAGTAAAAGCATTTCTACCAATGCCCTTGAAGGAAGACATGAACATAAGAACCAGTCAGGGGAGGGAGGAACCACACTCAGAAACAAATCCACCATCTTCAAATATACACTTAAGATCTTTCTATTTAAAATGTGAGTTGGGGGGCTGGGGATGTGGCTCAAGCAGTAGCGCGCTCGCCTGGCATGTGTGCGGCCCGGGTTCGATCCTCAGCACCACATACAAACAAAGATACTGTGTCCGCCGATAACTAAAAAATAAATATTAAAAATTCTCTCTCTCTCTCTCTCACTCTCACTCTCTCTTTAAAAAAAAAATAAATAAAATAAAATGTGAGTTGGGCTGAGGGTGTAGCTCAGGGGTAGAGCATTTGTCTAGCATGTGGGAAGACCCGTGGATTCAATCTCCAGCACCATAAAAAATAAAATGCTTGGATATGATTGTCATAAACACATGAGAACCTAAAAGAAAAGTTATAACACGTTCAATTTGTAAATACTGGCACGCACACACAGGGGTGTTTATGAAACATACACTTTTTTTTTCAGTGCTGGGGATTGAACCCAGTGGCTCTATTACTGAGCTATATCCCCCCACCAAAGGCACAGACAGAGGTTTATTTAGAAAAGTAGATACTTATCCAAGGGGTAAGGGGAATAATCTCAAGAGAGAGAGAGAGACAACTTTGGGGTAAAGCAAGGAAAACACATTCAAGAGAGAATGAAGGCTATCTCCAAAGGGAGATACAATCCCCAGCTCTTTTTGAGACACAGTCTCACTAAGTTCCCCATGCTGGCCTTGAATTTGGCATCCTCCTACCTCAGCCTCCCCAATCACTGGGATTACAGAAATTTGACCATGCCCAGAAAGACATAGCCTTTATAGGTGCTTGTTTACTTAATATTTCTTTTAGAAATTAGCTTAGAATTTCTTCCCCAGCCCCCCATGGGAGGAATAGACGAACTTTAGATATGGCAAAGGGGAGTGAGGGGAAGGGAGGAGGCATGGGGGTAGGAAAGAGGGTGGAATGAGATGGACATCATTCAATAAATTCATGTATGAAGACACAAATGGTATGACTCTACTTTGTGTATAACTACAGACATGAAAAATTGTGCTCTATATGTGTAATATGAATTGAAATGCATTCTGCTCTCATACATAACAAGTCAGAATAAATAAAATTTTTAAAAAGATATAAAATTTTCAAGGAAATTTTTAAAAATTACTGAAAAAAAAAAAAGAATTTCTTCCCCCCACCCCCAGCACTGGGGAATGAAAAACAGGGCCTCACACTGCTGGGCAAGTGCTCTACCAACAAGTGACAACCCCACCCCTGCTTAGAATTTCTATGGCTTTAATACTAAACATATGCCACTAATTTTTAATTTAACATAAAGCACAAAAAGTTCAAAATTTTAAAAGGCAAAAATTGTTAGATGTTTTATCTGTTGTTGCTGTTGCTGTTGTTTGGGGGTGGGGTTTCTACCTCAGATTGAACCCAGGGCACTTAACCACTGAGCTACATCCCCAGCCATTTTTTGTATTTTTATTTAGAGACAGGGCCTAGTTAAGTCTCTGAGGCTAGCTTTGAACTTGTGATCCTCCTGCCTCAGCCTCCCAAGCTGCTGGAATTACAGGCATGCACCACCATCCTGGCTGTTAGATGTTTTAAATAAAAAAAAAAAAAAAAAGGTCATGCAAAAAAAAAGTTGGGTGGTTCACAGGTATGGGTGCATGTGTTTGGGTGAAGTAACATTATGAGATGGGAGACATCTGGGGTACAAGTAGGAAAGCCACCACCATTTAAAAGAGATACATCCAGAAGTATCTCCTCTGGCAGCACTGAGAGTTTAGCTGAGCAAAACCGGGCTTTAGTCTCATAATGGATAACGGAATGTAGTGGGTACCTTGGGCTTCATATTAAGTGTGTTAGACTCAAGGCCTCATACAATCCTCCCAAGGATCCTATAAGGCAAACACTATCAGTACCCACATCTTACAGAGAATGAAAGTGAGAAAGAGAAGTTAGGGGACTTGCCCAAGTTTACTTAAGGAGGAGGAACTATACTCCAATCTAGGCTCCACAGATGTGCCTCAACCACTGTACTTCATGGTGTCACTTTAACTTCAAGCCTGGAAAATGATTTATTCACTGCTTGGTGCGCCCAGTTCTCTCCCCTCTCCCTTTCTGTATTTCAGAGACCATCCATCCTTTTAGATGCATTTGGTGTGGTGATCCCCAGACTGAAAGGTAAAAGAGGAATACATTGTCCCTTTCATCTTTGCACAGTGAAGTAACCCAAACGGAGCAACTTGCTTGGGTGGAAATGGACAGTCCTGAACAAGAGCATGAGAGTCTTGGGGAATGGGGGAGATCGCCAAAATTCCTACTGCAGCCTGTTTGCGTCCTTTGCTTTGACTACTGTGTTCTTTGGAGACCTCAGCGCCTACCTGTGCGGTCCCGCTCCCGCCCGGGGGAAGGAGGGGGTGGCGGCGAGTGCACGGATGGACCGGGGGCCTGAGTGCACCTAGGCGAGCGCGAAAGCGACGCTGCCAACCCGGATGAAGGAGAAGCGCGTGGAAAGACAGGGGCAGGGGACAGACCTGGGGTCGGCTGAGGAGACAGAAGCGGGAGGCGGCAGCCCAGGTGCGTGGGCCCACGGAGACGCTAGCGAACCCCGGCCGCAGCTCGAGGGGCGCCAGCAGAGCAACCCTGTCACTGCCACCTGGGCTGGTCTGAAAGGAAGCGCCGCAGGAACCGAGGCATTTCGAAACGGAGAACAAAATAACCTCGAGCGCCCTCAGGGCCCGGGTGGCTGCGGCGGCGGGGACAAGGTCGCGCCTCAGGGGGAGCGGGCCCCGCGCGCGAAGGGGCTGCGGAGGTGGGTCCGCGCGGCCCGGAACCCCGGGCAGAGCGCCGCAGAGACTCGCGCCGAAATGCGGGGCCCGAGGCGGGCGGCACCCACCCGCCAGCGCCCTGACAATGCGTACCTGCGGCGGCCGCCAGGCTCCCCTCCACTCCGGAGCTGTCCCCGACGCCGCCCGCAGACCCTCGGCGGGCTGCGGGGCTCCAGAAGCCCGGCCCCTCAGCCGCCTGCCAGTCCGACATCTGCAGCCCGCGCCCGGAGCGTCTCCGCCACCAGCCGCCGGCGGCTCCGGAAACAGCCGAAGGCCGCGCGAGCGCGGCGGCTTCTAGCCGAGAAGAGCCGAGGGAGCCTGGGGCCGGAAGAAGCGGCGCGGCGACCGCGGGAAGAGCGCACCGGCCCCGAGTCGGCCCCGGGAGTCTGGCCCGCGGAGGCTGGCGACGCGGACGCGAGGAGGGCTACTGGCTGCCTTTGATCGCCAATTTTTAAAATCTGGGATCGGTTAGAATCAACAAAACGTGAGGAAGATTCAGGAAGACACTGCCGGAAATCGTAGTATCCATAGAGACGCTGTCGGAAGTTGAGGTTGCTAGGAGGCCTAGGCGCGTCCATTGAACTGCGTAATGGAGAAGGTCCCAGAAGATTATGATTCTAGTCCTGATGAAAATGAGAAGTCAGAGCCTGAGAGGCCTGAACTTCGTAAATTGTCTGAATATGCCGAACCAGACACCAAGACAGAGGCAGGCTACGAGCTATCCCCAGAAAATGACCAAGTGCCACAGCCACTAGAAACTGAGAAAGAGGAAGAGTCAGAGATTGCAAAGAATGTGCAGCCAAAACCAACCTGGACGTCTGAGGAAGAAATTCCTAAGGAGATCGAGGTAGAGCCATCTAGCCAGACTGATTTAGGGATTCCCCAAGTGTTAAAGTCAGAGTCATTGGGAGAGATGGGAGACGAACTTTACAAGGATTTAGAGGCACCAGACCTAGAGCCACAAGAGGAGGCTAAATCAGATGTTACAGAGGATGTACTCACAGAATCAGCTTCAGAAACAGATATACAGTTACCAGCGGAAACCAAGTCTGAGGTTCCGGGGACCACAATCAATATGACAGGATTAGAGTTACTAAAGGAGTCTGAACAGGAGGTTCCAGAGGAATCACTTAGAGAGCAGAAGAAGGAAACAGATCTAGAACCTCCAGAGCAGTCCAAACTAGATTTTTCAAATGAGAAACCAAAGAAATCAGTTGAAGAGACAGATCTACAGCCAACAAAGATGACCAAACCAGAGATTCCAGAGGAGACACAAAGAAAGTCAACTGAGCAGTCTAAACCAGAGTTTCCAGACCAGAAATCAAGAAAGTCTACTGAGGAAGCAGATCTAAAACCTCCAGAAGAGACTAAACTAGAGGTTCCAGAGGAGATGCAACAAATGTCAACTGAGGAGAAAGTTCCAGAGCGACTAGATGAGGTCAAATCTGAGCTTCCTGAGGAAGAATTAAGAAAAACAATTAATGAAACAAATCTAAAGCCATCAGAAAAGACCACATCACAAGTTCCTAAGGAAACAAAAAGAAAGTCAACTGAGGAAAAGATTCCAGAGACAGCAGAAGAGACTGGTCTAGTACTACAACATGAGGTCAAACCAAATGTTCAAGAGGAGACACAAAAACAGTCAATTCGGGAAAAAGTTCTAGAACTATCAAAGAATACCAAACCAACAGATCATAAAGAGAAGCGGAGAAAATCAAGCAAGAATATAGGACTTGCTCCATCAGAGAAGTCTGAATCATGGGAAACACCAAGGGAGTCAACTGAGGAGAAAGGTCTAGAGCCACCAGAGCAGTCTAAATCAAAGTTTCCAAAGAAGGAACCAAGAAAATCAATTGAGGAAACAGGCCAAATGCCACCAAAGAAGACCAAACCTAAAGTTCAAGACAAGACACAAATGGAGCCAACTGAGGAGGAAAATCTAAAGTTACCAGATGAAATCAAACCAAGAGAGAAACATTCAGAATTATTCAAGGAAGAAGAGCCAGCACCAATCAAATCTAAGTATGCTATGGATAAGGATCAGCTAGAATACCCCAAGTTTCAAACCATTAAAGTGTCAGTAGAAGAAACTGACACAACTTTTAAAAAAGACTATGCATCTAGACGTCTCACACAAAGTGAAATGGAATCAACTAGTACAAATTATGAGTATCCCTCAAAACTTCCAAAACTGCTTCATCTTGTTGATATCTTAGACCTCCCAGAGACTCAGACAGGCTTAAGAAAGGCCTTTAGTGAAAAGAAAATTACAGATTCAGGCCAAGAATTGAAAGAAACAGCACCTAAAGATAAAACATCCCAGCCAAAAGAAAAGGAAACTGCATTACAATTCGAATATCTTAAATGGAGCCCAGAGAATGTTGCAGAATGGATTAGCCAGCTAGGCTTCCCTCAATACAAGGTAACAAAAATAACACTTTTAAAAATCATATGCTCTCATCTTACCTCATACTTCCTCTACCCTGACCTGAGGTCTTGCCTCTTCTTCACTAGGAAAGGAGACGTGAAGAATCATTGGTTGTAGCATGCCCCACCCACCCCCCAAAAAATTTAATTAGCCTGAAATTTTATCAAGAGCTTAAACAGAAAATATGTTGTACTATTAGATTACAAAATGAATTTAATTTTTTTCTCAGTATAGGGCTGGAGACTAACAAGATTCCATTCTGTCCTTCATCCTTCTCTCCCTCCCTCCTTTTTCCTCCTCCTAGCTGCAGAACATTTTTAAGTGTTGTTCTTTTTGTACTGACAGGAGTGTTTTACCACAAATTTCATTAGTGGCCGAAAACTCATCCATGTAAATTGCTCAAACCTCCCTCAGATGGGGATAACAGATTTTGAGGACATGAAGGTGAGTTGTATACAAAGTGTCCCTGAGGAGCACTGTACCAATGCTACCATGAATCCCAGACAAACCTCCTTTTCTTTTGATCCTATTTTTGACCATGGTGTCATTGTCCTCCCAGCCTCCCAGGCTCACAGTGATTGTTTCCTCTCTGTCCTTTGATCCCTACAAACATCCCAAGAACTGTCAGTTTCTCCTGTGGCATTTCAACTGGCTGATTCTCTCCATCCCTGATTTTCAGGCCCTATTGCCTCATACCTTGTACACTGAAAGTAGCCTGTCACTTTTAGCCTCTCTCCTTAGGCTCTTTGGATTCAAGGGATCTGTCTTTAGACCTTCAATGTCCAACCACTCATATATTATTTGGAAATCTTCTTTGGATCCCCTCTGTTCATACCATAGTCCCAACTCCATAGTTTAGGATTCAAGGCCCTCCACAAGTTTTCTCCAACCACATTCACTTCCCTCCACTCCTCTAGTGAATCTTTGCTGAACCTGCCAGGCTCTCTCAGTTCACACTCCTGTCTGGTGCATGCCTCCCTCTGTGTCTTTGCTCAGATCCTCTTCTCCTGTTTTTCTAATATGAATCTTAATCTTCCTTCAAGACCAATTTCTCATTCTCATCTCCTCAAGAAGTCTTTCCTGACCTTGCCATCCCATATAATCCCTCTTCTCAAATTCTCATAACACTTTGTCTCTGATACCCACTTAGCATTTATGTAACACCACATGTGTTTTGTCTGCTTTGCTGCCTAACATTGAAACAAGTTACTTTAACCTCCCTGGGCCTCATCTCTCCAACACCAATAGTCCGTGATCACTCTCCTTTCCTTACTATTACCTTACATGGGCTGGGGCTGTATGTAGATCAGTGGCAGAGCGCTTGCCTAGCATGTGTAAGGCACTGGATTTGATCCTTAGCACCGTGTAAAAAAATAAACTAATAAAATAAAGGCATGCTGTTTATCTACCACTACAAAATTTTTTTAAAAAATATTACCTTCCTTAGAGCTGGTGATATAGCTCAGTTGGTAGAGTGCTTGCCTTGCATGTACAAGGCTCTGAATTCAATCCCCAGCACCAAAATAAATAAATAGATAGATAGGTAAAGAAATATTACCTTCCATTTGTAGTGTTTACAATATATAAAGCATCACATACATAATCTTAATTGTAAACTTTGCACTAGCAGCCCCACCCCAACATAACAGGGTTCACACTCTACAACCATGCCCATAAATGCTGTACTTCAATGATTACCAAACATGGATAGTCTTCAGAATCCAAGATTCTTTTAAAAATATTCTTTTTAGTTGTAGTTGGACACAATACCTTTATTTATTTGTTTGTTTGTTTGTTTTTATGTGGTGCTGAGGATTGAATCTTGCACGTGCTAAGCAAGCACTCTACTGCAGAGCTACAACCCCAGCCCCATTTTTTTTTTTTTTTTTTTGAAAGGTAGATTTCTAGGCTCCACCCTCCAGAGGTTTTAATTCATTAGGCCTGGTTCAGGCTGTGGAATCAGTTTTCTAGGATCTTTCAGAACTTAGAACTATGTAATTCCATAAGATATATGGTTCCAAAAATAAGAAAATTACACTTATTACTGGCACTGAGATATAAGAAAATTTTTTTGAATTATTAAACACAAGCCTTGAATTCTGCTAATAGCTATCCTTTGCCAAGTGGTTACTATGTGTTGGGCACCATACATATGTTATTTCACCTAATCCTCATTTTTCAGAAGAGAAAACTGAGGCCCGTAAAGGTGAAGCAATTTACAAGAGTTTATTCAGATGATAAGTTTAAGAGACAATATTCAAATCCATTCTATGTGACTCCCCAATCCATGTCCTATTTAAATCACTCCTGTACTGCCTCGCTAAATGAACACTCTTATAACCATGAAATTCCATGTATGAAATATGAGAAGGACTACTTATATATGGTATTTCCAACCATGCCCTCACATAGTTACCAAATACTGTCAGATAAAAATCTTACTATTTTTATGTTCAAAGATAATACAGCTATAATTATAAGATCTTATTTCTACCTGTAATGAATTTTCCTAAATAAGGAACAGAATTAACAAAATAGTAATTTGTAATCCAAACTCCTAAAACACTTAAAGCTCTTTATCATGAGAGAGCTTTTTTTTTCTTATAGTGCAGGGGATCAAACCCAGGGCCTTGTACAACAACCTGATCATTTGTTTAACGTGATGACAGCCAGGTTTCCTTACTCTAAAGTTACTGTGTTTCCCTCTGAGCAATCATTCTACCTCTGAGCTATATCTCCAGCCCTTTTTGTTTTATTTTGAGACAGGGTCTCACTGAATTGCCCAGGCTAACCTTGAATATGCAATCCTCCTTCCTCAGTCTCCCTGTAGCTGGCACCACCATGTCCATCTAAGAAAGCATTTTTTAAGAGTCAAATTCATATTACTTAATATTCCAATCCCAAAAGTACAGTATCAATGTGCAATAATAAAAACCCTAAAATTCTTCTGGTCTTGTAAGCAAAGGAGAGGTCTTAAAAATCTTCTGAAATCTTCAAAAGTAAATGATGAACACCCTTATTTGTCCTTAGATCCCAAAAAGTTTGAATAAGCAAACTTCATAATACTTGTTTTCAAAGTCACCAGACAAATTTGGCCTCTCCATAAGGTGACTAGAATAACATAAAGAGCAGTACATTCAGGGCTGGGGCTGGGGCTCAGTGGTAGAGCGCTTTCTTCGTATGTATAAGGCACTGGGTTCGATACTCAGCACCACATAAAAACAAATAAATACAACTAAGAAAATATTTTTTAAAAGGCAGTACATTCAGAGATATATTGCATAAACTTTGCTTGACAGTTAAATCCACATAAAAAAGTAAATTCTACTCTAACACAAGGGTGACTTCCTAGAGCTCATTCATGCATTTAAGTATGCTGTAGTCACCTTTCTTACTTATAGAAGAAACATTTTCTTGTTTGTTTTGCTGTGCCATGAACCCAAACCCAGGGCTTTGAGAGTGTTAGTAAGCTCTCTGCCACTGAGCTAAAACACCAACCTCTGTAGAAAGCATTTTTAATCCCACTATTGTAATTATAGCAACCAATACATTCACAATTTACCTGATAACTCTTAAATAAGTCAGTTTTATTTATTCTAGGGACATGCCAGACAAAAGAGAATTACCCTTACTTGTTTGTTTGTTTCTAAAAAAAATTTCATTTTTCTTAGAAAATTTTTCTCAAAATACCTACTACTTACTACATCAAGTAAACAAGAATCTGATAAATATTTGGAGACAAACATAGATGAGTGGCTAATTCATTTTGTATGCATGATTTTGTATTCTAAAGTATAGCCTCATAAATTTCACAGTCTCTCAGTAATTCTTCTGCATTTGGCCTTGTTATGAATTATTTAAGCAGCACAAATTCATACCATTGTCAGAAATTGAGATTTCTAAACAGACATGTTTCCTTTTTTAAAAAAAAAAAAATCTTTTAATTTGTAAATAATTTCAATGTAACAGAACAGTTGCAAAGGTAGTTTAGAGAGTTCCTGTATACTTTGAACCTTGCTTCCCCTAATGTTAACATCTTATGCAACTATAGTGTATTTATTAAAACTAAGAATATAGCATTGACATAGTACTTTATTTATTAAACAACAGACTTTATTCATATTTCCACAATTTTTCCACTGATGGATAATTTTATTTCTAGGATCTAGTCTGGGATATTACATTGGACTTAGCTGTCAAGTTTCCTTGGTCTTTTCTAACGCGATAGTTTGTTGATCTGTTTTTCATGAACTTGACACTTGAAGATCAGTGATAAGATATTATGTAAATTTCCTTCAATTTTAGTTTCTCTGATCTTTCCCATGATTAGACTAAAATTATGGATTTGGGGGAAGACTAACAAAGAAGTGATAAGCCCTTCTCATCATATCAGGGCTACATGATATCAACATGATTTATTACTGGAAACTTAACCTGATCACTTGTTTAATGTGGTGACAGCCAGATTTCCTTACTATAAAGTTACTATGTTTCCCTTTTATATCTGCTCTTTAGAAGCAAGTTACTAATTCCAGCCCATATTTAAGGAGAGAAGAGTTAGGCTCCATCTTTTAGAGTGAGGAGTATCAAAAATTTATGAAAATACAGTGAAACTACCACAGCGATAAATATATTGGAGAAGATAGTCTGAAGCTATGCAAACATCTCCTTTTCAGAGTTTTGCCTACTAATCTTAGCATTCATCAATGGGTCTTGCCTGCTAAATTACTACTATGTTGTTTTAGTGATAATTTTCTATTTTCCTCCTTTCTTCAGTGTAGTTAGAATTATTCTGAAGTTCTTCTACATTTAATTGTCCCTTTCCCCTCAGTTTTTATCTCTTCATTTATATTAATTTGGATTAATGGACATTTATTCTTTGGGTTACAAGCCAATACTGTTATGTATTTTGTTGCTCAAATTATTCCATTTTCTTCTTCTTTTTTTTTTAATTGGGAGCTCTTTTAAATTAGTTCCTGTGTCCTTTTGACATGCCCCATTTAAAAAAAAAAAAAAGTATCTCCCTACTTTCTGGCACTACTATTAGCTTCAGGAACATCTTACATTTTCCTTGCTGCAGCCCTACAATCAACCATGTCTTGGCCCTGGTTGCTTTTATCAGAGAAGAGTGTTTAGAAACTAAAATATGAGCACTAGTTGTGCTTGTTCCTACCGGAGTGTCATGCTTCTAGGTACTTTCAGTAGAAAGATCTTAGAAGTATGTGTATACATACTAACCTATGTGTACACAAATATCTATCTTATTTCTGTATCCATATATATATAAGTATTATATAATACAATAAGTATTCATATTGATCTAACTCCAGTTCAACATAAAACGATTTATTTTAGCCTTTTCTTATCTCCTTCCTACCTCCAAACCCACTTGTTTATTTGTAATTTATTTTCTGACAGTGAAAAACCTGATTTATCTATAAATAGTATTCTGTGAGAAATTTACCAAATAGAGTACAGTGTTTGTGTGTAGTTTTGTCTTTAGTCTTACATTATCTAGACAAAGCACTATTTTCCAAAGTTAAAGTTATTTAGATTTGCTCCATTCTCCCCCACTCCTTGCAGGTAAATTATGTCTTAGTTTGTAATATAGTTAGATTTATTTGTCCACAGTCTATATGCCATCTTGGAGTTTACCCAAGGGATTTTGCATACACTAAAGTCAATGTTTATCAAGTATAGTTCTATGGGTTTTACAAATGCATAGGGCCATGTATTCACCACCAGAAAACCATATACCCTAAAACTTCTCTGTATCCCCTTTGTATTTGGCCTATCCTTCTACCTCAAACCCTCAAAAACACTGATCTGTTTGTCCATATAATTGTGCCTTTTTAAAAATATCCCTAAATGGAACCAAATAATATATAGATTATTTGGCTTTTTTGGATCTGGCTTTTTTCCCTTAGCATGATGCATTTCGGATTAATCTATGTTGTTACAGGAATCAACAAGCAAATTTTAAAGAGACTATACAACTGCATTATAATAGTGGAAGAGATGACTCATATTTGAACCATGACAATTACGTCTTTAGGTTTAAAGTAAATTATAGTTCCAATGAGGCAAATGTGCATATAAAGTAACCAAACAGTGCATAATAAATTGATAATGTTGAAGCAAAACTATTAATAGTTTGCAAATAAAAGCGAAAATAACAGCCTTTGAAACCATGACCAATAGAAAATATAGTGATGATATATTAATAATAGAATCTTCTTAAACATTACTGGCATTACAAATATTTACTTAAAGTCATGTGAAATAGGTGCTCTGCAGAGATGCCAAGCATTGAGTGTGTGTCATTATCATGAATGTGGAATTAAGACTCCTTAGAAAACTCTTAATAATGTTCATGATTACCTATTTCTAATAATCCTTATTAATTTCAAGTAAATTACTAGTAAGTTGCTTTAAGTCTTAGGCAAAAATAAAGTCTATTGCTTGTTATTTGTTCATCAGTACCAAAGAAAGAACTCATTTTTAGATAAATACATAGTCCATCAGAGAATCCTCATTGTCTATTGATGAAGTTCAAACATACTTTTAGAATCACTGAATTGATGGTTAGATTGTATTTCCTAATTCCAAAGTGATACTTTCACACTTTATAACACTTTTAATTAAGCACATACTCAATGCTTGACAATAAGTTTGTGAATGTTTTTTTCATTTTTTAATTTTCCCACGGAAATCACTTAAGAGATTAGCATTCAAGGGGCTAGGAAACTGCATAAAACTTTTATTTAATTGTATTTTCAAGTCAGTCTCATTAAAAATATTATTCTTGCATTTCAGGTGATTTCTCAGCAAACACGGGAGCTACTGGGAATTGAAGAGCCATTATTCAGCCGCTCCATCAGGCTTCCCCATCGGGACAACATTGGCCTATTTTTAGAGCAAAAAGGTCATACTGGGGTAAAATCTGACTCCTTGACCTTCTCTGAATTTGTCAAAACAAGAAGATTATGTGATTATGATCCAGAAATAACTGCCTCTGAAGAGAATAAGGCTGTTAACATTGTACGTAACTATAGAAGAAAGGTATTTCACTCACATTGAGAGATCAGACATAATTACTTGGGAGAAGAAGTGTGGCCTTTTTTATTTTTCTTCTCTTCTTTTTCATTAAGGATCAGAGTTAGAACTGCTGGCTCCATTCCTAGGTCTTCTGTGATTCCCAGTACCTTCCCTTTATTTGTGTTTCAATTTAGACCCTCCTTAAAACAAAGATAGCAATTCTTCTTGGATAATTGTAAGAATTCCTGATACATTCTAATAATACACCTGGGTAGTAGGAACATGCTGGAGGAACTATAACTAAAAATAAAATCTTCTAGCCCAGATAATCCTTTCCATGAATGTAGAAAAGAAGCCATTTTAGTACTGAATAAGTATTGAACTGTTATCACATCATAGGCAAGCTGTCAAAGATACTGCAAAGTCAAAAATAACTCACTCTTTAAGACAGCAAGACAGATTACAATCTATTACATGCATGTTAATTATCCGTATCTAATGGAAAAATAAAAATTCTCGTATCTTGATCACAAATAGGAAGTTACTACTTGGAGCCAGGCCCCCAGGTTAACCTCCCACAGAGAAAGGAGATAGGGCACCACTGGTCTCAATACTCAGACATTTCAAAAAAGATGGCTCCAAGGCCTCCAAAAGAACTCTCCTGGGGTATAAAACTGGCAAGAGGGTTATTTACCTTTTTAAAAGATTTACATATATCTTCAAAACAAAGGATTTGCAATCGTGTTTTCTAAAGGAAATACCTTAGGAAAGATGATGGGGGAAGGTTCTCTTTCCCTATAGGCATCATAGAAAAAAAAGTAAGATTTGTTTTTTGTTTTTTTAGATTTGTATATATTCTTCAAAACAACATGACTTACAGAAGTACCACTGACTATGAAAAGGGTTTGGGGTTTACTTCAAGGTTCTTATATATGGGAACTTCTAGATCTTTATAAAATGAAATTCAAGCTAGAATCTACTTGTGACTAGACTTCTCAAAAGAAATTATTAAATACTTCTTGCCTGAATGATTCCTGTTCCTTTCCAGTTTTTTTTATTAGTTGCTCAAAACATTACAATGATCTTGACATATCATATATTATACATTTGATTCAAATGGAGTATGAATTCTTATTTTTCCCACATGTACAGATTGCATGATCACATTGGTTATACAGCCACATTTATACATACTGCCATGCTAGTGTCTGTTGTATTCTGCTTCCTTTCCAGTTTTATAGACATATCTGCTCTTTGTCTCCTGATCTCACTTCTTAATCCTAAGAACCACCAAAGTGCTAATACAATTCAGAAAGGCAATGATGTATTTTTTTATAGTTCCCTACATCTAAACAAATAGTAAAAGGAATATTTCTTTTTTTTCCTACTGATATGAGAAACAGTGCCTCAAATTAACATGCATGCTAAACATTGATGTTTGATGATGAACCTAATTTTTCTCAAAATAAATTAAGAAGTTTTATCAGAATCCATTCTAGAACCATACCTTTGGATTTGCCTGACTCACAGTTATACAAAAAATAAAAGTAAGCAATGAAGACCAAGGTGATTTTCATGCATAGTAAATGGTTTTGCTTAGAAGCACTTTAGCATTTGGGAAAAAGGAGTTCTGTTTAGCAATAGAATATAGTAGGTGAATCTTGATGATGTCACTGCTATTGTTTTCAACTCTATCATAATTTACAAAATGTATTGACCTAATAAAAATCTATTTGGAAACTATTGATATTGAGCCATACCATAAGGTTTATATAAAAAGCTCTGCATTGGTTTACTCTTAAAGGAAAAATATTTGGAGAAGACTAAGTTGGCTTGCAGGGAGGAGTTGGAACAATGGGCATCATTGGCAGACTGCATAACAATGAATTGATTCCTGCAGAAATAAAATTGTTACTGTTCATTTTTGTCAAAAAAATAAAAATAATTGACAAAATGTATTTGTAAAACATAAAGGAAATAAACAAATTTGCACCAAAGAAATAAGATCTCAGTTATTTTTAGCCATTTAATATAAATGTGAGGTCTTTTGTTTTTGTTTATTGGTATTGGGGATCAAACCTATGCCTCACACATGGTAAGTAAGTGTTCTTCCACTGAGCTACATTCATAGCCCTGCCAGTTATTTTTAAAATGGTTTTATGGTTTAAAATGGTTCAAATAGAAACAATTTTAAATAAGATAGTATCAGAACAATCAGATATAACTGAAATAAGCATGGATAAGTCATAATTTAAGATTGTTTACCGAGTATTATGGCTTGAATGTGAAGTATCCTCTAAAAGCTCCTATGCAGGAATATCTGAGGTGAAATGATCAGAGTATGGGAGCTGTGGCCTGATCAGTCCATCCTAGTTTGAATGGACTAGCTGGTTGTTAACTGTGGGTGGGTGGGGTGTGGTTGGAGGAGGTGGGTCACTGGGGGCATGCCCTAGAGAAGGATTCAGCTTCCCTGTGCCACTTGTCTCTGCTTCCTGGTTTCCATAAATGGAGTGACATTCCCCCACTATGCCCTTCCACCAAGATGATCTTTCTCACCTTGGGCCCAAAGCAATGGAGCCAGGCCACCATGGACTGAATCTCTGAAACTGTGAGCCAAAATAAACTTTTACTCTTCTAAATTGTTCTTGTCAGGTATTTTGGTTGTAGCAATGAAAAGCTGACTACTACAGAAGCATTACTACTGAAGTGATAGGAAAAATCAAGTTGTTTGCCACCTATATACTATTACAGGAAAAGAAACTGCAATATGTAATTGTCCAATAATGAACTTAGCTTTTATAAAATTAATAATTGCGTTAACAAAGCTTTTCTGGGGAAGCAGTTTATATAAATGTGTTAGGTTGTGTAGTTTGATTTGGTTGCTTCTGAAAGCTAGACATACCCAAGCATATTGATATATAGGATCTCTTGTTTTATTTTACATTTGAAAGAGCCACTAGTACAATTTTCAAACAGGGATTGCAGTCACATAACTTCCCTAGCAATTGTGATAATTAGGGCCTAACCATTGTAGAGGAATCTGTGAAGGAAAAAAAAAAAATCCTGATTCCTGAGGTCACTTATTGGGATGGAGAGTCCAAGAGATCCACAGGCTCTTCTTCTTTCTTTGGAGCAATGCCAAATGAATCATAGTACAGGTAGGTCAGGTGGTCTTGAAGAACAGTATTGGTGGAGTGATACTGGCTAAAGGGAGTTTCCCTGAGTTGCACAGCAGTCAGATCAAACCAAGGAAAAGGCCTGGGGTGGGAAAAAATAGGTTATTTTTATTTAATGTCAGTATATTTTATTTGGCATTAAGCACATGACTGTGAGGAAAAAATTTCTAGACTTAAGGATTTCTCAACAGAAACTTCCAATCTGAAAAGCAAACAAAACAAAACAAAAACCAGAGACTAAAAAGAATAGAATATCCAAGGACTATGGAATAGCCACAAAAGATGGAACATACACATAATGATAATACTAGAAGGGGAAGAAAGAAAAGAACAGAATATTTGAAACAATAAGGACAGAATTTCCCCAACTAAATGTCAGATACCAAATTAGAGATCCAGGAAGCAATCTGAGAATACCAAGCAGGATAGTACCAATAAAATAAAAAATAAAAATTCAAAACTAAATCTAGACATATTTTCAAACTTAAAAAAAAACAGAAGATAAATTTAAAAACTTAAAAAAAAAAAACAGAATATAAAGAACAATTCCTAAAAAAGCCACAGGAGAAAATGCCTTACCTAGAGAAAACAAGAAAAAAATTGAACTGACGTTTCCCCAGAAACCATCCACACACGAAGACAAAGAAGTGAAGAAAGTGGCAAGGAAGAGAACAATGAGTAGGTATCACTAGTGTTGACAGAAAAAAAAACACCAATCTAGAAGTCTGGGTCCTTCCAAAGTTAAAGAAATAAAGACTTCAATAAACAAGAATTGAAGGAATTTGTTGCCAGTAGAGTTGTCTTGCAAGGAATGTTCAAAGAAGGAAAATTATACTTAGATCTATGTAAACAAAGGAAGAGCATTGAAGAAGGAATAGTGAAGGTAAAATGAAACCCTTCATTTTTCTTATTTTTAGTTGCTCTAACAGATAACAATTTGTTCAAAATAATAGCAAGTCGTGTGTGTGTGTGTGTGAAATGAGTGCCAGCAATGATACAAGGAACTGGAGGGAAGAATCAGGATTATTTTATTATAAAGTACTCATACTACCTGTGAAATGGCACAGTATTTAAAATTGTCCTTAGATTAGTTTAAATGTCTAGTGCAAGGTTGTTCATAAGAGTAACATATAAGTCAATCTCTTTCCTAGACAGCAGAATCTTGATCCATTTTCTGTCATTATAATCACATACTACAGACTCCCTAACTTGATTTATAGATTCAGTACAGTCCCATTCAAAATCCTAGCAAGTTGTTTTATGTGTATTGGCAAATTAATTTTAAGGTTTATATGAAAGGTCAGACTCACAATAGCTAACTCAGTATCAACGGAAAACAACAAGTCAGAGAATCCATACCACCTGACTGAAGACATATTATAAAACAACATAATCAAAATAGTTAAATAGACATGATCAATGAGACAGAATAGAGAACCTAGAAATAGATCCACATAAATATACAATATAGTTAGCTATTCTTTAACAAAACTCCAAAAGCAATACAATAGAGAAAATATGGTTTTCAATAAATGATGCTAGAACAATGAGACATACAGAAAAAGAAAATCTAGACATAGAACTTATACCTTTTACAAAAATGAATTCAAAATACATGATAGATATGGGACTGAGGCTGTAGCTCAGTGACAGAGTACTTGCCTAGCACATGTGAGACACTGGGTTCGATCCTTAGCACCATATAAAAAAATAAACAAAAATAAAGGCATGATGTCCATCTACAACTACAAAAATGTTTTTTTTAAAAAAATACATGATAGATTTAAGTGCAAAATACAGAACTACAAAATTCCTAAAAGAAAACAAGAAAAATTCAAATGGGTTTGGCATGACTTAAATTGTAACATGAAAGGTATGATCCATGCAAGAAAGAATTGATAAACTGGATCTAATTAAAATTTAAAATTTCTGCTCTGAAATATACTGTCAAGAAAACAAACACAAGCCTGGCACTGCAGCGTGCGCCCATAATCCCAGTGGCTCAGGAGACTGAGGCAGGAAAATCACAAGTTTAAAGCCACCCTCAGCAATAAAATAAAAAAATTTTTAAATGTCTTGGGGCTGGGGTTTTGACTTGGTGGTAGCATGCTTGCCTAGCATGCATGAGGCACTGGGTTCAATTCTCAGTACCACATACAAATAAAGATCCATCAAAAAATAAAAATATTAAAAAAATAAAATGTCTCAAAAAAAAGAGGAGATATACAATTAAAAAGTATAATTCACCAAGGATATATTAAAATTTGTAAACTTATTTATCATATAGCATGACTTCAAAATTTATAAGCAAAGATGATTACAAATGTGAAGTGAATTTTAAAAACTACAATTGCAATGGAAATATTAATATGCCATGCCTCTGTAACAGAACATCTGACAAAGAATATAGCACATTATTTCTCCAGTTTTAATGTGCATAAGTATCACCTGGGATCTAGTAAAAATGCAGACTGTGAGTCCATAGGCCTGGGGTGCCAGGTTCTGCATTTCCAAATAAACTTCCAGGCAACCAACAGATGCCAGTAATTTGGGGAGCAAAGAGTAACAGATTTGACTAACACAGGAACTTTGTGCCCAAAACACAGTCATTATTTCAAAGGCAAACAGCACATAGATGAAGAGATTAGATGAAAATTTTCTTAGTTCTTCCTATTTCTATTATAATAATCTGAAATGAAATTAAATGAGCCATACATATTTAAGAAATTAAGAAAGAGAACCACAAAATAAACTAAAAGAAATGAGGAACTAATTATTAAAAGTATTTGAATTAAAAATGAACAGCTTAGTCAGGTGTGGTGGAGCAGACCTGTAATTTCAATTACTGGAGAGGCTAAGGCAGGAGGACCACAAGTTCAAGGACTGAACAACTTACTCAGAGATCATGTCTCAATGACAACATTAAACATCACTGATTCATTTCCCAGTTAATTAGTCACAGCTAATATTAATAGCAGTTATCATTGAAAAAATGGGATTTGAGGTATGGGACAATATCACTTTTAGTTTACAGTTTATATGCTTTTTGCCACAAACATATTAGTTTTGTTGTTTTTTTTAAAGTCCACATAAAAGAATAAATGTGTAAAACAGTTAAGATTATTTAGAAAAATATTAATGAAGGGAACTTGCTCTACCAGGTAGATAATACATCTACACATGGCACACTGCAGTGACTAATTGTGGTATGGATATAGGAAAACAAGACCACAGTTCTGGAGAGTGTACAAATATGCCCATAAATATATCACAATTTAGAAAATAAAAGTGATATTTCAAATTGATAAGGGTTTTAGGACAATTGGCTTTCCAAAGTGAATAAAAGAATAAAAATCTCAAGTTGAAGATTTAAATATTTTAAAAAATCAAGTACTTAAAGAAAATTAAGAGTTATCTTAGGATAAGAAGGATCTTTATAACTTGAAACTATGAAACAATAAAGTGATTTGACAAATTTTATTACAAAAATTAGAATATTTTGAATAGCAAAAGATACAAAAAAAAAAAAAAAAACAATGACCAGGAAAAATATTTCCAGTACACAGAATAGGGAGTTACTATTCCTACTAAAATCTCCTACAAAGCAAGTAAAACAGTCAAAACAAAAGTAGGCAAAGAACATAAAATGAGGCTGAGAGAAAACACAAGAGCAAAAATTCATAAGTTGGAAAGAGAATGAAGAAGAAATAACTATGAACCTACATGGGAATGCTGACTCCTGTGTCAGCAGTAGCAAAAGCCACTGTCCATTTACATCAAGAGCCCCCAAAAGACTTAGGAAGTGGGACCAAGTACATCTAGAAGTAGGGGTAAGAGGGGACTAAAAGCAGGATACTGGTTAAAAATCTTAAAAAAAAGAACATGCCTAGTTATTTCTATGCTGCACCATCAGGATTCACCCCTCCCCATTCCTGACAGTTTTTTTTTTTTTTTTTTCTCTAGAGAGGGTCAAACAGAAAGTCTTTGGGCAGGAAGTAAATAAATATGCATTGTTTAGTGTTGAGGGAAGAGATATCATGTTGAAAAAAGAGAAAATAATGAAGTAAAAAAAAATATATATATACAGTGAATAAAACACGCCCCCCCCCCCAAACACACACACACACACACAAATTTCTCTAACCTGGATTCCAAAAAACTGATCGCCAAGTATATCTCTTCTAGGTAGGAGAGTGGAAGAAGTCTGACTCACCAAGAGAAAAGTCTAAAGATACCAATATTCAGGGTTTCCCAAGGAAACAACTGACCGAATCGGTCTATACTAAAGATCATTGTGATGATCAAAGTTTTTAAACAATTGTGTGTGTGTGTGTGTGTGTGTGCGCGCGAGTGCGCTAGAGATGGAATCTGGGGCCTCATGAATACTAGGCAAGTACTCTACTACTGAGTTATACACCACACCCCCAATCCACTTTTTAGTATCCAGGATCTTGAATATGAACAAACTATCAAGATTCCCCATTTATTTGAAGAAAGTTTCTAAAATGATAGAGACCAAAACAATTGATTAGAAAACAACTTAAAAGAAACAGTCTACTCAGAGAAGAGAAAAACAATAATAGTTGATATTCTCAAAGGGCATATTGCAAAATGAAATGACAGCAGGATGCTACATAAAATAGGAATATTTAGAGAGTAAAACAACTTTTAAATGTAAAATAAGATAGCAAACATGAAAATATTCTGCTATTAAAATACAACATAAAGGCTGGGCAGTGGCACATGCCTGTAATCCCAGCAGCTCAGGAAGCTGAGACAGGAGGATCAGGAGTTCAAAGCCACCCTCAGCCATGGCAAGATGTTTAGCACTCAGTGAGACCCTGTCTCTACAAAATAGGGCTAGGGATGTAGCTCCAAGGTTGAGTGCCCCTGAGTTCAATCCCGGCTACCTCCACTCCCCCCCCCAAAAAAAAAAAGACAGGAAAAAAACAAGATAATTGAGGAAATCTCTTAGAAAGCAGAGAAAAAAATATATCAAAGATAGGAAAGATGAAAGTCAGAGGATCCATCCAAGAAGTCCAACATTTGACTAATAAAAATGCCACAAAGGGAAAATAGAGAAACAGGAGAGGGGACAAAATTATGAGACATAATTAGAGAAAACAGAAGAATTTAGTTTGCAAAATCCCAATGAATATGCTGTTGGTGGTGGTTGTCTTTTCTTTGTTTTTGTGGGTGGCAGAGACATGAGTATTTGTTTTACAATAAATCATTAAACTATATTTACGGCTTTATGGATAGGTATTCTATGTATGTATTTACAATTTTTTAAGTTAAAGGGAAGAAAGGTCCACCAAGTGTTCAACAATGAATTAAAATAGACCCACTGTGTGAGTCAGCTTTTTGTTACTGTGACCAAAATACCTGAAATGATCAATTTAGAGAAAGAAATGTTTATTTGGGGCTCAGGGTTTCAGAGATCTCAGTCCATGGTTGGCCAACTCCATTTATTTGGGCCCAAGAAAGTCATCATGGCAGAAGGGTGTAGTAGAGGGAAGCTGCTCAGCTTATGGCATATGGGAAACAGAGAGAGTCAAGGAGGAACCAGGGACAAAATATAATCCCCCAAGGGCATGCCCATAGTGACCTGCTTTTCCCATCCACACCCCACCTGCCTACCGTTACCACCCAGGAATCCATTCAAAGGAATAATCCATCAACTGATTAGGTTATGGGCCTCATAATCTAATCATTTTACCTCTGAACATCCATGAGCTTTTTCAGGGGACATCTCACATCCAAACCATAATACTCACATTGTGGCACATAATAAAATCTCAAGATACTGAGGTAAAAAGAGCTTATCAGCTTCCAAATCAGAAAGAAACAGATTTCAGACAAAGGATCAAGAATTAGAGTGGTATTGTAACTCTCAACAGCAATTCTGGAAGCTCAAAGACAATGGAGCAATGCCTCAAAATTCTGCAGGAAAATTATTTTCAACCTAGAATTCTGTATTTGGCTATGTTCTCAGTGAAACATTAGGCGAGAATAAAAAACATTTTAAGATATAAAATATCTCTAAAAGTTACTTTTGGTGTACCCTTTTCTTTAGGAAGATACAACAAGGTATGTTTTACTAATATAATAAATCAACTATCACAGAAGTCAAGTGGTGTTCAAGAAACAAAATAACAAAGAGATGAAAGAAATTCCCAGGATAATAGAGATTATAAAAATAGAGATTAACCCAAGACAATAGAGAAGAAAAATCCTCAATCTGAAAGCATATCACACCCTAGAGAATAAACCGCCCATCAGTGATTCACTGAAATCCAAAAGAAAGAGGGAAGAATCAAGGATTACTTCCAGGGCTCTAGTTTGAACAACCTGATGAAGCACTATGTAATTAGATAAGAAACCCTAAATGAGCAGGGTATAAGAGCAGATGCGTCTTTGGACATGTTGCGTTGCAACAGAGAGCGAGAGTATGCACTTACCAAACAGCATTGACACAGAGTTATGAGCTATCAGAACAAAGATGGCAACCTAAGTTCCCGAAGAGATCACCCAGGAACAAATGTAGAACGAAAAGAAAATAGGGCCTAGGATAGCCCTAAAAACTCCCAGATTTCAGGATGGGAGAGAGGAAGTCAACAAAAGGAGAGATCAGAGAGATAAGAAGAAAATGAAGAGAATGTGAGTATTATGGTTTAGATATGAGGTGTTCCCCCAAAGCTCATGTGTGTCAATGCAAGAATTTTCAAAGATGAAATAATTAGATTATGAGAGCTATAACCTGATCAATCCACTGATATGGATTAACTGAGTGATAATTATAGGCAGGTAGGCTGTGGATGGAGGAGGTAGGTCATTGGAAGTGTGCCTTTGAGGTTTATTTTTTGTCCCTGGTGAGCGGAGCTCTCTCTCTGCTACCTGATTGCCATATCTTGAGCTCCATCCTTCCTCCATGCCCTCCTGCAGTGATGTTCTGCCTCACTTCAATCCAGAGCAATGGAGTTGGCCATTAATAGACTAAGACCTCTGAAACCATGAACCCCAAATAAACTTTTCCTCCTCTACATTGTTCTTGTCAGGTCTTTTGGTCACAGCTACAACAGGTAGACTAAAACAGTGGGGAACCCTGAAAAACAAAAGATATTGCTTCAAGAAGGATGACATGCTTAATAGTCAAAGAGGAAAAGGAGTTAAAATTGTACAGTGAATTTCATGACAGGGAAGTCACTTATCATAAGAGCAACAATTTTTACTATGTGATATCAAAGATTAAAAAGATTGATTTTAGAGTTGTCAAGCTATAGAGAAATAGCACACTTGTGTTGTTGGTGGAAATGTTTTTATAAGCAATTTGGGAATATCTGTCAAACAGGAAACATATGATATCTAACCCAGATACTTATCCACATACTTTTCCAACAGAAATTCTGGGTCAAGTGTGAAAAATAAGTACAAGAATGTTCAAAGCAGCCCTTTGTACAAAAGTTGAGGCATAAGGAAATAACTATATCAATATCAAGTGGATATAGGAATGATCAAATTTAATAAATGTTTCTAATGGATGCCTATGCAACTGCTCATAAATGAAGCAGATATGGTTGTGCTAACATGGAATGGCATGAAAAAGCAGTATATGTAGTTCCCATGTATCTGACACCATACACAGGAATGAATATGCATGCACTATTATAATGGCAATATAAATGTGTTTGTAAATACATAGGTAGGTAACAAGACAAAAATAAAAACAGAGGTAAAATTTATGAAATGGTATTGGGGCAAAGGAGTCTTTTACTTTGCTACCAATCAAATTTTTTACAAGAATGTATTATTTTATCAATTTTTAAAAAGAACATGAAAGGATAAAAGAGCATCTACTAAGCCAAGAATATGGGAGAACTAGAATGGTTGGCTGGCTGACATCTTACCTTCTATGAAGCAAGTTCTTGACATAGGATTTGCTGATGACATGTGGTAGCTGAAATTCTGGGCAGGATTCTTCATGTTTCATACAGTCTTTGAAGTGAACAGAAAGAAATAGTTGATTCAAAAGCTGCAGTGCTTGTCGGCAATCCACATTGCTTTCTGTGCACATGTTTAGGGCTGCATAGATTAATCCCTCCAGCCATTTGATATTGAGGATTATTCCCCCTACACATCAATGAGAAAGTAAATACCAATCAGCACACCAAAAATGAGTTACAGGGATCCTAGGAGAAACCCGAGACACTGATTATAAGCCACAGGTTGGTAATAAGGACCTGGAGATGAGCAAACACTCTTCCCTCCAATAGGTAACAGCTCAATTTTCCCTTTATAACATCATGTGTTGACCATACAAAGGAGGACAGATGACTAATGTAGACATTGCAAATGAGGCAAAAGTTTATCCAGAATGGTCCTTGCCAATAATGGAAGGTACTGGAGAAAATTTAAGATTAGAATATGGGAAAGCCATTTTAGTTCCAGATATTGCATTCTCTTGTTTATTTCCTCTGGCTATTTCCACTTCATCTTTAAGAGTACAGATAACCAGCCTTCTCAATATTCCCTAATTATGGCTGCTTTTTATCATCAAACACTGATCTAATTCCAAACCTAAAGGACTGAGAATATATTTAAGTTGTGCTCTCCACAACAATCACGCCATTCAGGGATTTAATGAGATCAGAACAGGTGAGGGAAAGGCAATTTCAAAAGAACACCATAAATATAGTGAATCGTTACCATCAGGACTGTAGGGGCAGGTAGCCCGAAGAATCACAGGATCTTGGAGAGCAGCTGTGATTTCCTTATTGGCTCCCCAGATCTTCTCAAAATCCTCAACACAATGATACTGAGGTCGCAAGATGTTGGTGTGGTTCAATAATAGTTTCAACCTGGAAGGCACCAAAACTGGGAATGCAATGCCATTTATGCCAAAGACTGGGATAAATAATATATAATCTATTGCATTCACACCCAACACCAGCAAACAGGCTTTCCTACATAGCACTGCTCAGAGGCAAATGCAGGTCTAGGTCTGCAATGAGGGCACTAATTAGTTGGATTGTTCATCCATCCATCTAACAAACACTAATTGAATGTTTTCATGTGCCAGGCATGAGGCTAGATACTAGGAGTAGAAAAATAATATTTGATACATATTTATAGTAACCTCTCATGTTGTTGACTGTTAGTTTCTCTTCTCATTGATGCACAGAGGAATATCATTCAGCTTCAAGTAGTGGGAGATAATGTGCTCCTACAAATTCTCAACATTCACACAGCAAACAAATATCTCACCCACAAGCACTCTTTGTGGGAAACTGGGGAAGACACAATTAGAAAGGCTGGCTGGGTCTTTCAGCAGATCAAGCTGCCTTATCTTTATTACTGGGAATGACCAACTCCAAGAGGGAAGCAGTAGTAAGAGATAAGAAAACAGCAGTTCTGCCAATTCTGTTCTTGTCCTAACAAGATACCTGGGTATTGGGATGGCTGCTACAAAGCTGAACACAATGCAGGCCTTTTCAAGACTGGTTTGAATTTGTATGCAGATATGAGGCAGCTGAGATGGCAAGCAGCAGAGGAATATCACGTTGGCCCAACCCACCAGACCAGAATTATGGTAAAAGCACTGGACCCCCAGCTTCTGGAACTCGGCTGAGAAGGATAAAGGAAGACAGAAAAAGAGCACAGTACAAGGAGTTTGACCTGAGCATCAGTTATGGGGAGAGGATGATCACTATTTTATCTCAGTAAATCAACCCAAGACTTGCTGCCACACATATCAGAAGATACTCCTATCTATCTTCTTCGAGCTACGCAGCAAGCCCTAAGCCCGTTGCTAAAGCAGCCAGTGCTACTGCAGCAACATTTGAGATGCTAATACAATTAATTTTTATCTTACTTTTACACCAAATGCTAGAATTCTTCAAAAAGTTTTAAGAAAGAAAAAAAATCTCTCAGCTTCAGTTTACTGAAGATTTACAATGGGCCAGAGAATTTACTTTATGTACATTATTTAAGGTAATCCTCATAAGGATCTTCTGAGGCAGAGCCGAGTTGTATTCCTATATTATAGAAGAGGAAACTCAGACTTCAGTATGCCATGTGACTTGCCCAAAGTTATACAGCTCAGTGTCTTGGGTGGGTAAGACTAGGAGAGTAGAAAAGTATAGAGCAAACACTGGGAAGAGTTTGGAAAGATTTAAAGAGTTCATAATGTAAGTATACACAACTTAATAGGATATTTATCAATACAGAGAAATGTGATAATTCATGGAGTGCATAAAAACACTCACTGGTAGTTAATCATTTGATTGTATTTAATTCATGGAGTGCATAAAAACACTCACTGGTAGTTAATCATTTGATTGCATTTAATGCAATACAAATTTTTCAAAAGTGAGAATTTAAAGCATACACTCACATCTGGCACATATTTTAAGTGTCATTGAAAAAAAGGATATGTGGGGAATGAGATTGACCAAATTATATTGTGCCTGTATATATGTATGAATATTTAACAAGAATCCAACCAGTATGCATAATTATAATACACTGACAAAACTTTTTAAAAAGAAAATATGAGAGACACTGGAGAGGTGACTTCTTATTTTAACAACCAAGAATACATGACAGAAATGATGCTGAGATTATCCAGATACTCATGATCCTGGAAAACAGATAGGACAAAGAGAAAGTTTAGAAAGCAGGTGCATGCATCATTCTTCCATGAGTTGTTCTAATTCCTTACTCTTGCATAGAAGTTGATGCTGATCATTTTGAATCTTTGCTTCTTTACACAACACACAGAGGAATTTTTTTAAGAGAGATAGAGAGAGAGAATTTTTTTTAGTATTTATTTTTCAGTTTTCAGTGGACACAACATCTTTATTTTATTTTATGTGGTGCTGAGGATCGAACCCAGCACCCCGTGCATGACAGGCAAGCACGTTACCGCTTGAGCCACATCCCCAGCCCACATAGAGGAATTTTTAAACTAATTTTATTACTAAAAACATATTGCTTCCCAAAGAATATATGTACTATATTGAAATATCATATTTACTCATTCTACCACTGGGGCTAGGAAATATGCCTTAATCTGGCACAATCGAGCACACCTGTAATCCCAGGGACTCAGGAGGCAGAGGCAGGATGGTTGTTGCAAGTTCGAGGTCAACTTCTACCACTTAATGAGACCCTATCTCAAAATAAAAAATAAAAAATGGGCTGGGGATGTAGTTCAGGTGTAGAGCACTCCTAGGTTCAATACCCAGTACTGAAAAAAACAGAAAGAAAGAAATACACCTTGAGTAATAAGACTTTTTAAAAAAGTTTCCTTTCTATAGAAAGAACATTTACAAATCAGTAAGAAAAACATAGGCACTCTAACTTAAAAAATGGGCCAATACTGAAAAAAGATGAAATAGCAATAAACTTACAAAAAAATGTAAATTCCTCTAGAGATCAATTAAAAACAGGAAAAATTGAAAAGGCAATTAGAATGGCAATGTTAAAAATGATTCCCAGCATTGACAGTGGCATAATAAAACAATTTTCATACAATGCTGATAAAAATTTACACCTGAACAAGATTTTTTGAGGTTAATTTGAAAAAAAAATGTATTAGAAATTCCTTAACAAATAAACATATACTTACCACATGACTCAGCCATTTCACCCTCAAGTATTTACCAAAGAAAAATGAAAGTAAGGAATGGGAATATAAAGTTTGCCTAGCATGCATGAGGCCCTGAATTCAATCCCCAGCTCCACAAAAAGAAAGAAAAAAGAAAGCAGTGCACATGAACACTTACATTAAAAATGTTCATAGTGGGGCTGGAGATGTGGCTCAAGCGGTAGCGGGCTTGCCTGGCATGTGTGCGGCCCAGGTTCAATCCTCAGCACCACATACAAACAAAGATGTTGTGTCCGCCGATAACTAAAAAAATAAATATTAAAAATTCTCTCTCTCTCTCTCTCTCTCTCTCTCTCTCTATCTCTCTCTCTCTCTCCCCCTCCCTCCCTCTCCCTCTCTCTTTAAAAAAAAAAAATGTTCATAGCGGCAGCTGGGGCTATAGCTCAGTTGGTAGAGTGCTTACCTTGCATTAACAAGGCCCTGGGTTCAATCCCCAGCACCCCCCAAAAAATGTTCATAGTGGCTTTATATGTGATAGCCAAAAACTAAATAATCTATATTAACAGGTGAATAAACTATGCAATATTAATACAATGAAATGATACTCAGAAGTAAAAGGATATTGATACATGAAAGACATATCTCAAAATAATTATGTAGAGTAAAAGAAACCAGACCGAAATAAATGCAAACTGTATGACCCCATTAATACAAAAAAAAAAAAATTCTAGAGAATACAAACTAATCAATCTGTAGAGACAGAAATCGTTGTCATTAAATTCTTGGGTGGGGAGCTGCAGGGATATAGAGATTCATGAAGGGCAAGAGGCAACTTTTGAGGGTATGCTCATTATCTTGAGTGTGTTGATGGCTTCACAGGTATACTACTATAGTTTGGATATGAGGTGTCCCCCAAACACTCCTGTGTTAATGCAGGAATGATCAGAGGTGAAATGATTAGATCACAAGTTCTATGACCCAATCTGTGGACTAATCCATTTGATGGATTAATAATTTGAATGGACTAACTGGGTGTAAACTGTATGCAGGTGGGGTGTGCCTGGAGGATTTATATTTCCTTGGTGCCTCACTTGCTTCCCCTGCCTGCCCCTACCCTCTCCTTCCCAGCTGCCATGAAGTGAGCAGCTTTCCTCTGCTACACCCTACCACCATGATGTCTTGGTCTCACCTTGGGCCCAGAGTAATGAGCCAGAAGACCATGAACTGAACCTCTGAAACCATGAACTCAAAATAAACTTTTCTACTTCTAAGTTGGTCTTGTTGAGTATTTTGGTCACAGTGACAGAAAACTAACATATGTACACGTGTCAAAACATTAAATTATGGGCTGGGGATGTGCCTCAAGCGGTAGCGCGCTCGCCTGGCATGCGTGCAGCCTGGGTTCCATCCTCAGCACCACATACAAACAAAGATGTTGTGTCCGCCGAACAACTGGAAGAATAAATATTAAAATTCTCTCTCTCTCTCTTTAAAACAACAACAAAAATAAACATTAAATTATATGCTATGTATGTAGTTTATTGTATGCAAATAACATCTTAATAACATTATACCCTCATGTTGATCTAGTAATAACTGACAACCCTGAGAAGAAGATTACAGGTACTTATTATTTTCTTCTTTCTAATATTTTTATTTCAAAATAAAACATAACTTTCAAAAATTATGTACAAGAAAGTTCAACTAAATATTTATGGCACAGTTATGTAAATTACAGTATATCCCATACTTTGGAATGCTATACAATCTTAAACTCATATTTACATTAATCTATTTACTGAGATAAATAAATTTTAAATCCTGAGACAAAAATAGAGAAAGGTAGAATGGGCATGGAGGATCTGGCACTCCTAGCCACTGCCCAGACACACACCTTTGCATCTAAATGTCCAGACCCCAGAGGCAGTAAGCATACCTGCCCAGAAGACACAGGGAGTGCTCTCAAAGACTGTCTGTGGGACAGTGGAAGGGTTTTAAATCATTATTGTGAAGTGATACAGAAACATGCTTATGATATATTAAATTTAAAAGGCATAATACAAACAGGTAGGCACAGTATCGACGTTATGGTTTAGATCTGACGTGTCCTGCAAAAGCTCGTGTGTGAGACAATGCAAGAATTTTCACAGGTGAAAGGATTAGATAATGAGAGCTATAACATAATCAGTGGATTAATTCACTAGTATGGATTAACTGGGTGGTAGTTATAGGCAGGTAGGGTGTAGATGGAGGAGGTAGGTCACTGAGGGTGTGCCTTTGGGGTTTGTATTTTGTCCCTATTGAGTGGAGCCCTCTTTCTGCTTCTTGTTTGCCTAATCCTGAGATGCTTTCCTCTGTCCTTCTGCCATAATGTTCAGCCTTACCTTCCGCCCAGAGCAATGGAGTTGGCCATCTATGGATTGAGATCTCTGAAACTGCAATAAAATAGACCTTTTCTCTTTGACACTATTCTTGTCATATCTTTTTTGATCACAGCAATAGAACTGACTAAAACAATAACTGAGATAATTAGAGAAATCAAAAGGAAAGAAAGCTGGGCTGGAAATATAGCTCAGTTGGTCGAGTGCTTGACCTGCATGTACAAAGGCCTGGGTTCAATCCTCAACAGAACAAAAAGAAAAGGGCAGGGGCAAGAAAACTGATAACCCTGATAAGATTATTACAGGTAGTTATTATTTTCTTCCTTCTGATATTTTATAATATATATTATTTATATTGTTTTATTTTTCAGGTTTTATTATTGAAAGATGATTTAGATACAGTGCCACACAGATCTGAAGTATATGTTTTGAACAGTTGTAAAAAATGCATACATTCATATAATTCATACTTTTCTCAAGATGTAAAATATTTCCATCTCCCCAGAAATTCCTCCAGGACCTTTCTCAGTCTTTCTTACCAGAAGTAATCATTGTTCTTATTTCTTTTTCTTACAGTACTGGGGATTGAACCCAAGGTCTTGCACATGGTAGGTAAACAGTCTACCACTAAGCTATATTCATAGTTCCTCCTTGCTCTTATTTCTATCACACAGGTTAGTAAATGGAATTATTATTAAACATTTTTTGAAATCCAATAAATGTTATTTTAAAAAACTACCAGGCCAACTGCAAATATTTGAAACTGTTTAACGCCCACCAGAATTTACCTAGTTGAGTTAGAAGATTTGAACTTTGTATGGAAAGCTTCCCTGAATCCAGAAGATAATTCACCACCAAGGACATAGGCAGGAGAGGCTGATATAAAACAGTTCAGTGGAGAGAAAGGTTGTTTTAAACCACATGTTTAAAAGCCATCTTTCTAGCTTTTGGAGCTAGCAATCTAAGCACTCTGGTGCTGTGCACAAGAATTCCCCGTTTAAAGGGACTCTCAAAATGGCTTTGAAATCATCTAACCAGCACATCTAAACTCCACTGTCTAACACACATTGCTCACCCAGGACCTCTGGCCTCCGAGTGGAGATCCGCAGACTTGCAGCAGGGATGGGGACAAGTTGTAGCAGTGTACGAGCCAGTTGCTTCCCGAGACGGCCACCTCCAATGATGCCAACCTTTAGGTTCCTGTTGTCATCTATGTCCACGTCACCTGATTTAGTTGAGAGAGAGCTGGAATTTTGATTCTTTTGTAATAATTCTCTGGAGAATGAACAGACAAACATACATAAATATATGTACACACTATAGCTCTTCCTGTCAACGTCTAATGTTCATTGCTTTCATTTTCTCAGAAGCCTAGTGGCACCTTAGGTACTTCAGAGAGAAAGCATTTCAATCGTGTGCCATTTACCCAGCTCTACTAACAAATTAAATGTTCCATCTGAATAAATTTTTTAGAAATGTTATCACACCCCCTTTCCAAGGGACCAAAACTAGATTAAAACCTTTTAAAATGAACATCTTTTGGTTACATACATTATGTGTTTTCCTGCCATCTTAAACACAAGTCTGAATATTTAATCATTTCATTGACTTTGGGCCATCACTGTGAACAGCCAATCTTGTACCTTATACCATAGTGTGTGACGCATGTGGACTTACTCCTTTTTGTTTTCAAGGCTGACAGCTGTCAAATTTTTTTAATCATGATAAAGAACAAATAACAAGCAATTAAACATTTTAGCTATTTTTAAGTGTATAGTACTATTAACAATAAGCACACTATTGTGCAACAAATCTCTAGAAAGAGACAGGAGGATCATAAGTTCAAAGCCAGCCTCAGCAATTTAGCAAGACACTTAGCAACTCAGTGAGCTCCTGTCTCTAAATAAAATACAAAAAGGGGCTGGGCATGTGGCTCAGTAGCCAAGGACCCCTGAGTTCAATCCCTGGTAGCAAAAAAACAAAAACGAAAACCTAAAACTACATATCCATTGAATAACAACTCCCCTGCCCCCAACTTTTGGCATTCTACTTTCTGTTTCTGTTTCTGCTTTAGATGCCTCACTGAAGTGTAATCATGCAGTAGTTATCTTTTTGCAACTGGCTTATTTCACTTAGCATAATGTCTTCAAGTTTCATCCATGTTGTAGCATAAGATTTTTTTTTAGGGCTGAATAATATTCTGCTGTGTTATATAACACAATTTCTTTATCTCTTCATCACCAGTGGACACTTAGATTGCTTCCACATCTCGACTACCAGGAATGATCCTGCAATGAACGAATGTGCAAATATCATGCTGAGATTCTGTTTCTAATTTTCTTGGATATATACCCAGAAATGGATTTTTGGATCATATGGCAATTCTGTTTTTAAAATTTTGAGGACCTTCCATATTCTCCTCTGTAGTAACTACACCATTTTACATTCTTACCAACAGTGCACAAGAGTTCCAATTTCTCCACATCCTCACCAAAACTCACTTGTTTCATTTTCTAATTACAGCCATTCTAACAGACATTCTAATAGGATAGTTCATTGTGAATTTGATTTGCATTTTCCTGATGATTGGTGATATGAGCATCTTTTTATATACCTGTTGTCCATTTCATGTGTGTGTGAACATATGTATGAAATATATATATAGTGAAATATACACAAGTAATGTGTTTGACTTCATTCGTTAATAGGTGGATAACCAATTTCCCAAAAACTATTGGTTGAAGAGACTATCCCTGTTGTGTAAATTTGGTATAGGATCACTTGACTGTATTATGTGGTTTATTTCTGGGGTATTTTGTTCCATCAGTCTATTGGCCAACTTTATGCAAGTACCAAGCTGTTTTGATCACTATAGCTCGGTAATGTGTTTTGAAATCAAGAAGTATGAGGCCTCCAGCTTTTTTATTTTTTAACTTTCTCAAGATGGTTTTGGCTATTCTTTTGAGATTCCATATAAATTATTGCATGCTTTTATTCTATTTTTACCAAAAAATGTCTTACTAAGTTGCTGAGGATCTTGCAAAATTGCCCAGGGTGCCTTGAACTTGAGAGCCTCTTGCTTCAACCTCTTGAGAGTCATTGAGTTTACAGGTGTGTACAGCATGAACAATTTAATACTGTAAGTCTTCCAATCTATAAGCATAGGGTGTCTTTCCATTTACTTAAGTCTTCTTAATTTCTTTCAGCATGTTTTGTTGTTTTCAGTGTGCAGGCCTTTTACCCCTTTGTGTTAAGTTTTTTTTTTTTTAAATTATTTGATGCTACTGCAAATGTGTTTGTGTTCTCTCTCTCTCTCTCTCTCTCTCTCTCTCTCTCTCTCTCTCTCTCTCTCTCATGAGCCCTTGAACCCAGAGTCTGTGTATGCATGTACCACTGAGCCATACCCCCAGCTGAGATTGTTTTCTCATTTTCAGATTATTGTTTGTTAGATTAAAGAAATGCTACTAATTTTTGAGTGCTGGTTTCATATCCTGCAACTTTGCTAAATGTTTACTAGTTTTAACAGTTTTGGGGGAAGAATTTGGGGTTTTTTAATTCAAATTTGTTATATATGACAGTAGAATGCATTACATTTCATATTACACATATAGAACACAATTTTCCATGTCTCTGGTTGTATACAAAGTAGAGTCACACCATTCGTGTCTTCATACATGTACTTAGGGTAATGATGTCCAACTCATTCCACCATCTTTTCTACCTCGACACCCCCTCCCTTCCCCTCTCACCCAGTCTTTGGGTTTTCTACATATAAAATCACTCATTATAAGCAGAGATCATTTTACTTCTTCCTTTCCAATTTGGATGTCTAATTTTTCTTTCTTCCCTAATTCCTCTCACTCTACCCGTACCACCATTGAGTGTGATGTTAGCTTGAGCTTTCCATGTCTGGCCTTTATTGAGTTGAGGTGATTTCCCTCCTTTCCTAGTTTGTTGAGTGTTTTTATCATCAAAGGGTTGCTTACTTTCTCAGCTGCTTTCTCTGCTGATCAAAATGATCCTGGGGGTTTGTCTCTTCTAAAACTTATGCTGAAACTTAATTGTCACTGTGACAGTTTTGAGAGATGGAACCTTTGGAAATTGATTGGGTTATGAGGGCTCCACCCTCATGAATTGATAAATGCCATTACCATGGTAGTAGGCTAGTTATTATAGGAGTGGTTTTGTTTTATGGCACTGGGATTGAACCCAGAAACACTCTTCCACTGAGCTACAGCCCTTTAAATTTTTTATTTTTGAGACAGGCTCTTGCTAAGTTGTAGAGGCTGGCTCACAATCCTCCTGCTTTGGTCTCCTGAGTTGCTGGGATTACAGGCATGTGCCACTGTACCTGGAGCAGGAGTGGCTTTGTTATAAAACAGCCCTCTTATGTACATGCTCTCTTGCTTCCAGTCTCTCTCTTTCTGTCTCTCTCTCTCTCTCTTAGTCTCTCTCTCTCTCTCTCTCGTAGTCTCTCACCAGGTGGACTGTGAGAAATAAATGTATTTTCTTTATAATTTATAAACTCTGTGGTATTGTTATAGCAGAAAAAAATGAACTAAGACAAGGTGTTATGTGAGGTTTTTGATTTGAGATCTCTTTTCTTTTTTTTTTTTTAGTTGTAGTTGGACATTTATTTATTTTTATGTGGTGCTTAGGATTTAACCCAGTGCCTCATATGTACCAGACAAGAGCTCTACCACTGAGCCACAACCCCAGCCCCCTCTCTTCTTTTTTAATGTAGGCATTTAGACCTATAAACTTCCCTTAGTATTGCTTATGCTGTTATGCCGTGTCCCATTAGTTTTGATGTCATGTTTCCATTTTCATTTTTCAAGATATTTTCTAATTTCCCTTTTTGTGTATCTGTGTGTGGTGCTGGGGATTGAACCCAGGACTTTGTGCATGTGAGGCAAGTACCCTACCAACTGAGCTACATCCCTAGCACTTCCCTTTTCTTTTTTGAGCCATTAATGAGTATGTTCATTTCCACATTTTTGTAAATTTTCCTATTTTCCTTTGGCTACTCTAGATTATTTGTTTTAGTCAGCTTTTTCATCACCGTGACCAAAAGATCTATTGATTGAAAAGAACAATTATAATTTAGGGTTTACCATTTCAGAGGTTTCAGTCCTTAAATGGCTTACTCCATTGCTCTAGACTCAAGGTGAAGTAGAATATCACGGCAGAGGGGCGTGGCAGAGGAATGGCTTAGGATTTGACAGCAAGAAGGCAAAGAGAGCACTCACCAGGAACAAAATAAAAACCTCAAAGGCACATGCCCAGCAACCAGCACATCCTACCTGCCTACAGTTACCACCCAGTTAATCTGTATCAGTTGATCAATCCATTGATTAGGGTACAACTTTCATAATCTAATCAATTCACCTGTGAAAATTCTTCCATTGTCTCACACATGAGCTTTTGGGGACACCTGTAAACCGTAACAATTTCATTGTGGTAAAAGATTCCTGATATGATTTTAATATTAGATGTGTTTAGACTTATTTTGTGGCCTAATGGTGATCTATCCTGGAGAATGTTCCATGTGTACTTCAGAATATATTGTTTCCTGCTGTCAAGTAGAGCGCTATGCATTTGTTTGTTAGATTCCAGCTGGATTCCACCCCTTTGTATCCTTATTTGGTCTCCTATCTGGTTGTTATAGCTTTTATTGAAAATGGAGAGTTGAAATCTCCTACTATTATTTGTTTGTTCTGTTTTGGGTGCTTGGTATCCAAACCAGGGCCTTGTACATGCAAGGAAAGCACTCTACCAACTGAGCTATATCCCCAGCCCCTCCTACTATTATTGAGTACCTTCAATTTTGACAATATTTACCTCATATACTTGGATGCTTTGATACTAAGGGCATATATATTTACATTTGTTATATCTTCCTGGTGAATTTGTTTTTTTTATCATAATAAATAAGTCATTCTTTGTCCCTCATGCCAGTTTTTGACAAAGTATTGCTGATACAAATATGGCCTATTTTCTTTTGGTTACCATTGGTATGGAATATCTATTTCTATCTTTTTAATTTCAGACTGTGTGTTGTTGTCTCTCCATTCAGCAACTCTGTGTCTTTTGATTGGAGAGTTTACTCCATTTATATATAAAGTAATTGCTGATAGGGAAGGACTTACTTTTGCCATTTTGTGAATTGCTTTCTGCTTTATCTTGTAGCTATCTTGTTCCTCTTTTTCTCTTGCTGCTTTCCTTTGTGTTTCATTTTTGTAATGATATGTTTTAATTCCCTTATCATTTTCTTTTGTTTATCTTCCATGGGGATTTTCTTTATGGTTACCACAGAGAAAGACATAAGAATCCTAGGTATAATAACTTATTTTAAACTGATATGGTTTTACTTTAATCACATATAAAAACTCTATTTCTTTACTCTTCCCCTCACCCATTTTTTGTTATTGTTGTCACAAATTACACCTTTTTATATTTTGTATCTATAAACATAATCAGTTGTTTCATGCTTTCACGCTTTCACAATTCTATATCAGAATTAGGAATTATTTATATAACACCTATTACAGTATTGAAGGCTATGTATTTGCATATATATTTAACTTTACCAGAGAGATCATTTTTGTATACTTTCATGTTGCTATCTAGCATCTTTTCATTTTAACATTAAGGACTCTCTTTACCATTTCTTGTAAGGCTTATCCATCAGTGATGAACTCCCTGATCTTTTATCTGGGAAGGTATTTTTTTTCTCCTCAATGTTTGAAGGAGTTAGACTAGATAAGGTATTTTCAGTTGGCTATTTTTTCTTACACACTTTGAATATATCAAATCACTCTTTCTGGCCTGTAATGTTTTTGTTGAGAAATAGTCTTTTGGAAGCTCCCTTGTATGTGAATTGTCTTTTTTCTGTGTTCAATGTTCTTTGATAGTTTGAATATGGTGTGTTTGTATGGGTTCTTTAGATTCAAGTTAGAGTTCTTTGAGCTTCTTGAATTTAGACTTTCTTCAAATTTTGGAAGTTTAGGGCCTGTATTTCTTCAAATAGGTTCTCATCTCCTTTTGAAATTCCCGTCATGCATCTACTGACCTGCTAAATGGTGTCCTCTATCTTCATCTCTCTTCTCCTCCCTTCTCCTCCTCTCTGCTTCTTTCTTCCTTCTGATTTCATAATTTTAATTGTCCCATCTTTGAGTTCACCAATCCTTCTGTTTGGTTAAGTCTAATGTTGAACATCTCTGGTGAATTGTCTCATTTCAGCATTCTGTTCTTCAGCTCAAGATTTTAATACTTTCTTTTTGGTGATATTCTCATTTGTTCAAGTGCTCTTTTTCTGATTTCATTTAGTTGTTCACCTGAGTTCTATAAGTCCTTGTGCTTTTTTATTTTTTTAAAAAAGATTGCTATTTTGAATTGTTAGGTAATTTGTAGATCTGCTTCTTTAGGGTTGGTTTCCAGAGATTGTTTGTTCCATTGATTGGGCCATGTTTTCTTGTTTCTTCATATATCTTGTTATTTTTTGCTGGGATTTGAGAATGTAAAAAACATCCACCTCTCTCAATCTTTATAGACTGGTTACATACTGGGGGAGAACTATACCAATTGTCCAACAGGAGATCCTGAGGCCTTCTTAAAGTTTTTCTGGGTAATGTTTTCTCTGGGTTTTTTTTTTTTGTTTTTTTTTTTTTTTTTTAGTTGTAGATAGACACAGTATCTTTATGTGGTGCTGAGGATCAAACCCAGGGCCTCACACATGCTAGGCAAGTAAGTGCTCTACCACTGAGCCCCAGCTCCAGCCCCTCTGGGCTTGTTTTTGTAATTGCCCAACTAGAGAAGTCAGTCTGTTTCTTTTGCAGGAGCTTGCGCTCGCTCGTTCTCTCTCTCTCTCTTATGTCTCACCAGGATACTGCACATTCTCTATTCTACAAGAAGCCACTGAGCTCTTCTTGGTTCTCATTCAAAGCATGTTGACCCCCATCAGGCAATCTTTCAGGCAACCCTGAAAAGCTAGAATGTTGAATATACATTTCACTTTTCTAAGGTAAAATCTCTAAATTGGGTGTTTTCTCCTGATCATACCAAGTTGCAGTGGTTTGAGAAAGGCTATCTCAAGTCAAGTGCAACCATTTTTCTTTACTCCTACCATGTAGCTGTTATTTGCTTTACATTTTCCTGGAGTCCACCAACTTATTAACTGGTTTCAAAAGTTCTCATAAAGCCTTTTTAGACATTTATTTTTGTTAAGTGTCTCTGTGGAATTATGAGGTCTTGGGCTTCTTATTCCTCCGTCTCCCCGACATCACCTGCAGACAGCTGTCAATTTTCACTATTGTTAAGATGAGTGAACCCCTGTCCTTCCATATATGTACTCTTTCTACTTAGCTATTTCAGTTTTGCATATACCTGTGAAATCAGGTAACATTTTTATAAAAATGTTATGATTTATTAAAATAAATGACTTATAAAAGCAAAACAGGCCTGAGAAATTGAGGATGAAGGATTTGAGTCTAAACTTTTCAGAGACTGACTTAGTATTGGTCCTGGATGCCTTTTTTTTTTTTGACCCAAGAGTAACAAAGTCTACCCTCTGAATACATAGAGTATTACTTTTATTTTTATTCACTATTTTATATTTGTTCTGTACTTTTGTAAAACCTAGAGTCTTAAAGCCTTAGTGTTTCCATATAAGCATCATAAGCCATATTCTACGGAAAGCTTCTCTTCTGGTGAAAGAGAACACTTTCTCTTAATGTCTAGCCAAATCTAAAATGCCTCCTGGAAAGTCCATATACTGGTTTCTCAACAGTTATCTTGGGTATAACCAACTTTATCAGTATCCTTGTTAGCCAATCAGCAAATTCACTGAGCGGAAGCTTCCTGCTCTATTTATAAATATGATCAATTCAAATGAAGTAGTCCACTAATAGGTCAGCTTCCAAAGAAAGAACTGATTCTATTTGCAGCCAATAGACAAGTAAAGGCTAGTCATTAGCAGCTGTGGAAAATAAACTGGTGGTCTTGCTGTATAAATGAATGATCATTAATTCACCAACTGAAAGGAAAATTGCACTAATCCATGTCTTATTATGCCAGGAGACCCTGGTATGAATTTTTCTGGGCCTTTCAGACCCGGAACGATTGAGTGCAGGTTGGAAAAGGTAAGAAAACAATCCTTCTACCAAATTTATTCTCCAATATAAAAAAGGTTAAGTCACTTATGGATTCTTAGCAGTGAGATCTTATCTATCTTCCTGAACTTGGAGACCTAGCTTACCTCAAATTATAGAATACTTTGCAGAAGAAAGTTGCATGGGCACAGGCCTCAATCATCAGTCCCCGAGAACGACCCTGCAAATACAGCCAGAAACGATCTTCCTCTGGAATCTCACTATCAAACTGTAGGGATTCAAGGTTCTCTAGCATGTCCATTTTCAAGCCACCATCTCCTGCAGTGACAGATACCAATCAAGATGGCTTCCTACCATGGAAAAACAGATCTATGCAGGAGAGCTTGTCTTATGGTATGTGTACCTAGGGTAAAGTTCTCATGATAGGCTACAGCACCTCTCTCTCCAATACTGAACCTGGAGTTCATATTGTTAAGTATGGATCCCCCTGAGGATTCTTTATCACTAGCCGCCCATGAATCCTACATTCATGAAAAATTTGAACAGAAACCCAAAGTAATATTGCTTCACATAGGCTACAGGCATTTGTTTTCAGCAAGTGAATATATATTAGCAATGGATTTCAGAGGTGTTCATGGGCAGGATCTTCTCCCTTCCATTCCCTAGGTTTCAGAAATAGGACAGGACACATAGGACCTTATTTCAAGGAAATCCTCCCTTTAACTAAACTTTCTGTGTTCCCCATAGGGTAGAAAAGAACCCAAACTAAATATCACTGGTCCCTTATCTAGGGCAGAGACATCTAGATTTTAGAAAATAAACTTGTAGATGTTTAATTCATCTATATACAACTCTCACCAACCCAACTGAGATGGACTCTGCTCCTCAGTACTTCTGGTCCAGGCAGATAACTAATACATATCTAAGTAGAATTACTTAAGAAAGTTTGTCATTATGACTCCTTAACTACCAGAGTACTTCAGTCTCCTAGTCTTAAAGGGGCCAGCCCCACCTGCAGGTTTTCCTGACCTGAACATGAAGAACCAAGTTCCTTTCACTACTTCTAGGAGTACTAAAACAGATCAGTATAGGACTCTTTTTTTCCCTAACAGAAGAGACTGGATTTCTAGTTGTTTTTTTCCCCCCCAGACTTGAGTATTATACAGATCTTAGCGTTACTTGAGTTACTCTTGCAAGCCTGTCTTTTGTTCAAGAAATCACAGATCAATTTTATAGCAATAGTGATACTGAGATGAGGACTTAAAAGCACTCAAGTCTTTAGTACTCTTGTTAAATTTAAAAACAAAAACTTTTGAGGTGAAATTAACATAAAATTAGCCATTTTAAAGTGAATAATTCAGTGGTACATTCAGAATATTGTTCAATTACCTCTATCTAATTCCAAAACGTGTTCATATCCACAAAAGGAAACCCTATTCACATTAAGCAATTTCTGCCCATCTCTCCCCAACCCCAGTCCCTGGAACCATCAAGTTGCTTTCTATGGATTTATTTATTCCAGATATTTCATATTAAATAAAATCATATAATACATGACCTCTTGCATCAGGTTTCTCTAATCTCTCTTTTAGGAAGGTTGCTATGTCACACTCCCAATCTCATTAAAAGCCAACTCCCTGGCACCTGAAGTAAGGAACATGATAGTTTTTAAATTTAAGAAAACACTTCCTTACATCGGGGCATTCTAATGTTGCAAGTGATGTTTCTAACTTCAACAGAAAGTGAAGCTCAAAACCTCCCAGAGCAGTATAGTGCACATATGTTCAACAGAACAGATATAATTTCTAGGCCTGTTTTTACTTATACATTCTCAAAAATAGGGATTCATTTGTAGCTTTGTAATGTCAATGTGGCTAGGACTAACTATTTTTTCCAGAATTCTCTTCATTGTTCATATCCACAAAAGGAAACCCTATTCACATTAAGCAATTTCTGCCCATATTTCGGGTTAGAGTGAACCACATGAGCTACTTCTGTCCAAAATCTTAAGGATGGAAATGAAACCCGCAACTAGTTTGTATTTCAGCTTGTAAGGCTGAAAGGCAGGCCATTCCGTAGTCCACACACATTGTTGCTTATCTGCTGGCTACCTTGGTATATGGCAGCAGATGGACCTAAAACTACTAAACCTTTTTCTGGATCCTCCTTCAGCTGCTTATTCCTGGGCGAGGTGTTTTTCAGCTCTATGACAAAGGCCACCAGCTTCTTGTTCAGGATACCCACTCCAAGGTTGGAGGCAGTGAGAAGAGAGATGGGTCCTAGTCTATTCTCATGGTTCTAGCTTGTCCCTGCTCTCCATCACTTTATCTCCATCTTCCCTTCCCAACTGTCTGCCCTGTGAATTTTAAGTTCTACCACCAGACATGAAGACAACTGCCTTACATAGACTGTCTATCTAGCTACCATAAGAATAAGGTCAAATCCCTCTAACAAATTAAAATACAGATTAGATAGATAATGTGTATATATACTCCTAATAGTTCTGCTTTTCAATTCTAATGATACACTAGGTAATAAAGTTCCCAACGTTTATCTGAAGATGAACCAATAACTTTAGCACAATCTAGCAAATTAGATTCTTATTTCTTCAACAGCAAGGATCATCAGAAAAGGAACTAAATATGAAGTTACCTGGAATTGCAAAGATTACAAAAGGGAGGAGCAAAAGACGGAGGCTGTCCCCCTTAAAGCAGGGTTTCTCAACAATGGCATTACTTACATTTGGGGCAAAATAATTCCTTGTTGTTGGGGGCTGTCCTATGCATTAGATGCCAGTAGCACCACCAAGTATGGCAATGAAAAATGTCTTCAGACATTGCCCAATGTTTCCTGAGGGGCAAACTTCCTCCATCGGAGAACCATGTCACCATAAAGCATGCTCTGTGCCTCTGTAGACGCATGGTGTCTTTTCCTCCTACCACTTCTCCCACTCCAAATACAGGAGTACAGAACTCTACAGGGTTACACATTATCATACCCCCACTTCACAGATGAAGATGAGTCCAGAGAGAAATGGATTCACTCAGCACCACATAGCTTGTCAGTGGCAGAGCTGGAAAAGAAGTTAGGTCTTGTGGTCACTCAGCTTAGTGCTTTTTCTGTTACCATACAGCCCTGCTTTGCCATAAGCACCTTTACTCTATAACCTGACATGTGTTCACAGGCAGCTGAATGAAATCACGGACACAGACAAGACACTGAGTAATTATTTCACCATTCAGCATGAAACAACTGGGCAGGGAAGAAAAGGCAGGCACAAAGGACGAAAAAGCTTTATTAGGAGTGTAGGCATGTATGAAAACCCAGGTCAGTCAAACAGGCTGATATTGGTACAGGGCAGAAAACAGCATCACCGAACATTCTGTCAAAAGTCAAGTGTGAAAATAAAACCTCCATTTAAATATCCTCAGAGAAATGCTGCTGAGTTTAGCCTAGGTGAAACTCTCTGGACACTTCTGGGAAGATAATGAGATTTTTGCCTAAAGGGAAAACTCCAGCACTGCTGAATCTGAGCTCTGCATAATGTGGTGGGTCTGGGATAGTAAAAGATAAGGGCGATATCTCATCAAGGTCATCTCAGTATGCCGGTGAGAGAGGAATCCTAAGTTTTGGGGGGAAAAGTAGACTGGGACAGCAGAGGGGTTTTAGCTGAAGAAACACAATATCTTAGCAACATCTGACATAATGAAGAAGGGTTGCACAGCCTGGTTTGAGTGTGTCTTCAGCAGGTCCTGAGCAGTACTGGCCCCACTTCCAGAGGCCCCTGGAATACAGCCAATTTGGTTCTGTTCTCTCTTCCTTCAGAGCAGAACTGCAAACATCCAGCACTAGGTTCTGGACCATAATTAGCTAAGAGGAAATGAAGCAGCTACCCTGTGACACCTATACCTCTTATTCTAGGAGAGTTCCTTTCAAGAATGGTCACTTTTCTTAGACCAAGAGAGATCTTACCCAATATGGACTCCCACCTTCACATGAGCACCAGGTGGAGAGTATCTTTCTCATAAGTCAGAGAGTTAAATTGTGGCCTTTAGATAACATCCCTTGTACAGAAGATCAGTCTGAAGCTCTCTGTGTCCAGGTGCTGATTTCTGTCCCAAGATTAGTAGGCACTGCCTGTTGAATGATGGGGCCAAGTGATGTGATGCTGTAACTCTCCCAAAGAAGAGGACTCTCTACTTTCACAGGCAGAAAGGAAGAAATGAGGCAGGTTTCAGGGTAGCTAATGCCCTTTAATTCTTCCATCGAATTTGCTGTAGAGAGAGCAAAGAATGAAGGTGTGTGATCAGTTTTCATTTATCCCCACAGGAGGCAGAGATTAGAATGCAAATTACAGGGCTGGGTTGTGGCTCAGTGGTAGAGCGTTTGCCTAGCATGCATGAGGCACTAGCTTCAAGTCTCAGCACCACATAAAAATAAAATAAAGGTATTGTGTAAAAACAAAACAAAACAAAACAAAAACCGAGCTACATCCCTATGGCCCTATTTAAAAATTAAAAAAAAAAAAAAAGAATGCAAATTACATTAAAAAAAAAAGGAAGGATTGGACTGGGGAGGTATTGGGAATTTTTTTTACTATGTGGGAGAGTTCATTTATTCAGAGATGGATTAAATACCTATTCTGTATTTTATAGAATGACTGATTTAAGGCATTTATCCTGGTTCTGTCCTCCTCAGAACCAAAATTTACTAGTTTTAACTGACTTTAGCACAGGTATCAAAATATGTAATAGGAAATGAAGTTCCACATTAACAAAAAATTCAGTAATTTCATGCTATGAGAGATAATCAACTATACTCCCCAAATACTTAAAATCTATTTTACCCACTTCTTATTTCGAATAGGTAGATCATATCCATCCAAGAAGACTGTATAGTCTGAGTATTCAGAATCTGTAACATGTTTTTATAGTTCCAACAGTTCCTGCAATCTGCAAGGTTTAACTATGATGGTCTGATGAGCATCATAGTTAAGACTCAATCTGTAGTTCCCAAACAACCCTTTTATCATCTCATATCTCAGAAGTAATTTTTACTGTTCAAAGCAGTGCTTCTGAAATTTTGGCCCACAATGAGTCTTATATCCACAGGACTCCGCTAAGTGCAATACTGCCCAAGTCTTGGGAACAGTTGACACTACTTTGTGAAGTATCTGTCTCCTAGGACAACTGGAGGGGAAAGTGCAGCTGCTCACCGAGCTGCTGAGAATGGTATCGATCTTCTCTTCCTCTGCGGATCCTTTATCTACCTTGCTCCTGTATGCTAGCAACTGCTGACGATCCTTCAGGTCTCGGCAGGTCTACACAGCAAATCAAACAATACAAACCCCCAATTAGTCTTCTCTATGAAGGACTGCCTCTTTTTGTATCTTATCCAATATGGACTCCCATCTTCACATGAGCACCAGGTGGAGAGTATCTTTCTCATAAGTCAAAGAGTTAAATTGTGGATCCTCAAGGATCCAGGAAAGGCCAAGAGGCTGCAGTGAGATAACAGTTGGGGGATCAAGTACCTACAGTACTTTATATTGGATTGAAGTCTACAGAGTCTAAGTAACTTGAATCAATTCTGAGTTCTCCAAATGCAACAAATTATAAAAGCACAGAGAAACCTGTTAGAAGGCTGATCTCCAACTAACGCTTGCCAGACTATTTTCTCCTTTAAGTCCAATCTGATAAAAGCATCTCAGGATCTAGGACAAAGACAATTATAATCCCCCAATCTTCACCAAGGATCAAATTTGGGGTTTTCATTTCTTAGGACTCACATCAATGACGACATCATGGCACTTGAACTTAGTAGCTAAGTTTAATTTTGTGTCCACATCTTCTACCAAATTGACATACTCCTGTAATATCTGTGGGAAGAGATACTTCTGATTAATAATTCCCATAGAACACAGAGCTCCACAGGTAGAAAATAAAATGTCTGAAAGAAGGTAAAGAGTTCAATATTAAATATCTACCATTTCCATCAACACACAAAGGATTAGTTCTGCAGCAGAAAATGAGGTGATACTAGACAGCACTTCTCTGAAGCCTCAGGAAAGAAGGGAAGAGCACATTCCTCTTTATCCTAAAGTCAGATATGAATGCTGGCAAGGCACAGCACTAGAGAAGATCCAATGCTCTGACTACTGCTTCTATTTTTAGGATGAAATTTTTGTGTGTGTGTGGTGCTGGAGATTGAACCCATGGCCTTACACATGCAGGGCGAGCTCTCTACCAAATGAGCTATATCCCCAGCCCAAGGATAAATTTTTTTATTGGTACATTATAATTATACATAATGGAATACACTATGTCATATTCATACATGTATATAATTTGATTAATCTCATTCCCCAGTATCTTCCCTTCTTACTGCCTACTGCTTCTTGATACTCATTGATCAATATCATTTTGAATCATTTGAATAGTATATCAGTTCTTCACACAGCTAAACACAGTAGATGCTGCTCAAAGATGACAGTCTACAGAGTTACTTCTAAGGGGGAAGAGACTGTTCTTTCCTGGCCTTACCTATTTTTCAAGATCTAGTGCAGCCACTGTATGCCACTGAGGGAAAATCAGAGCAGGCCAACTATCCATTACTGAATAGCAAGAGGCTAAAAGTTGAGTCTCCCAGAGTATCCTGTACTCAAATCTCTTTATAAGCCATTACCTGGACAGGGGCACTGTTCTTGTGCAAAATTTCCACAACTCGATGAAAGCCGATGGGTGCTCTCTTCTTGGTGTAACCCAGCCAGTTCTGAAAAAGGAAGATGGGAGGCAGCAGTAGGTAGATCAGACAGTGAACACACTCTGAGCTAGTAGTCTCTCAATGTTTTATGGACAAGCCAGAATAACATGGTGGGGAGGTGAACAGATTACTATGAGGGATAGAGAAATGGTAAGAGTTTAATTTTTCTGAGAAATCAAGGGATTTTACGGAGTAGAAGAAAGTCAGAGATATAAATTCTTAGATCTATAAACACTAATGCAGGAAAAAAATTGTAAAATACTACCAAAGAGAATGAGTAAAATTCTGACTTCTATATCATTACATGTATGTATAAATGTTCATTTGTAAACTCATGGAGGAAAGGTCAGGAAACTTACTGATAAGATTTTTAATAGTGTTTGCCTTAATGAAGGGACTGAGCTAGAAGCTGGTACACACTGAAAAAGAAGCCACTTAAAAAAAATTTTTTTTTTTTTTTGTGCTGGGAATGGGACCCAGAGCCTCATGCATGCTAAAGCATGCACTCTACCACTGAACTACACCCCTAGCCTTCTTACTCTTTATATACTTTCATGTAGTATTTGATTTTGATATAGGTACATTTTACTTTGGTAGTTAAAAGTAACCAATTCATTGACAAGAAGGAAAATCAGAAAATTCTCAAATCCATAAAGACAAAAACCCTGATATTCAAAATGTAAAACCAATTTGTATTAAATAATAAAAGACCCCCAATAGCCAAAACAATCCAAGAAAAATAAATTTGAAGGCATCACATGTCCTGATTTCAAATTATAATCTAAAAATATAATAATCAAAACGATATGTGTCTGACAAACACATAGACTAGTGGAACAGAAAAGAGAATCCAGAAATAAAACCAAGCATATGTGGTCAACTAATTTCCAACAAGGGCAGCAAGAGGACACAAGGGGGAAAGCATAGTTCCTTTAGAAAATGATGCTGGGAAACCTGAATTTCCACAAGTAAAAAAAAATGAAATGGACTCTTACCTTATGCTACATATAAAACTCAACTTAAAATGGACAAAAGACCTAAATATAAGACTTGAAATCATAAAACTCCTAGAAGAAAACATAAGGGGAAAAGTCCTTGACACTGGCCTTGGCAAAGAATTTTCAGATATCATGTCAAAAGCTCAGGCTATAAAAGCAAAAATAAATAAAAGGGACTACATTAAACTAAAAAACTTCTGCAAAACAAAGCAAACAATCAAAATAAAAAGGCAACCGATGAATTGGGAGAAAATATTTGCAAACCATATGTCTGATAAAGGGTTGATATGTAAACTTTTATAAAAAATTCAACAACTCAATAGCAGAAATACAAATAACCCAATTTAAAAATGGGCAACTGACCTGAATAGACATTTCTCCATAGACGTACAAAACAGCCAGCAGGTATCTGATCAGTATTCACTAATCATCAGGAAAATGCAAATCAATAACACTGTATCATCTCACACCTGCCAAAATGGCCATTGTCAAAAAATCAAGCAGTAGTAAGTGTTGGTGAGGGTGTGTAGAAAGGGAATGTGTGTCCACTGTTGTAGGAATAAAGACTGGTGCAGCCATTATGGAAAACAGTATGACGGTTCCTAAAGAAATCAAAACTAAAACTATCATATGATGCAGTAATCCCTCTTTTGGGTGTACGCCAAAGATAATAAACTCACCACCTCATAAAGACGCCTGCACGTCCTCCTCCATTACAGCATTATCCACAACAACCAAGATATGAAAAAAAAAAGTAAGCGTTCATCACTGGACAAATGGATAAAGAACTGATGTATATGGGTGTACACACATGTAAACAATGCGAGAGTGCTCTATCTTAACGAGATTCTGCCATTTGTAACTGCCTGGATGAACCCAGGGGACATTATGCTAAATGAAATAAGCCAGACACATAGAGAAAAATACTGCAAGATCTTACTTATATGTGTAATCTGGAAAAAAAAAAAAAAAAAAAGTCAAATACATAGAAATGGAGATCGGTGATTTCAAGGGACAGAGGAAGTGCAGGCTAGAGGGTACAAGTCACAATAATAGAGGATAAATAAATCTAGAAAGCCAAGGTACAACATGAGGACTAAAGTTAATAGTATTATGTTGTATATTAGAAATTTGCTAAGAGTGGATTTGAGGAACTATTCCACATATATATAAAATGGCAACTGTGAGATGGATGTTAATTGTGTTGACTATAATCATTTCACTATGTATATCAAAATCCCATGTGTCACTCCTTAATGTATATAATAATTATCAAAAAATGTAAAAACTAGTAAAGAAATTACAACCAAAAGCAATACATGGTTCTTAATTAGCTCCAAATAGCATGTAAATACAAAAACAGCTATAAATAAATAAATTCAGACTATATTATTTCATTATGGACTATATATACATAGCAAATATATGTGATATTATTATTGTATGAGTGTCAATTTTCTGGAGACAGAGACTATTTTCTGGAGTTAATGCTTAAGTATTTAAGAAAGAAGTGTCATAAAGTCTGCAATTTACCTTCATATGGCTCAGGAAAAAATCTATGTATATAGAAGAAAGAAAAAGCTAGCTAGTATGGCAAAAAATGTTGATAAATTATTGAAGTGGTAAAGACCACGTATATTCTCTTTTTTTAGGTTTGAAATTTTAGAAAATAAAAGGTTGGAGGGAAAAAGCTCAAAAAGTAACTTGAGCCAGGTATGGTGGTACATACCTATAATCCCAGCAGCTTGGGTGGCAGAGGCGGGAGGATTTTGAGTTCAAAACCAGCCTTAGCAACTTTAAGAGGCCCCAAGCAACTTAGTGAGACCCTATCTCTAAATAAAAAATGAAAAGGGCCGAGGATGTGGCTCAATGGTTAAATGCCCTTGGATTCAATCCCTGGTACCAAAAATATAAAAAATAAAAAGTTACTAGGACTTACAAAATGATACGATGACCCTTCTTTCTCCCAAGGCCTTAGCAGTATAAAGCAATTCCAGGACACCTACCTTTGTGGTGAAGAGGGCATCTACGTCATGCCAGGCTCGAAGTTTGGCACGAGCAGCCAGGGCTGTCAGCACATACTGTTTGTCTGGGATCTAAAAATCAGAGAGCAGGAAAAATTAAGGGAAAACAGAAATGTTTTGGGGCTGGGGATGTGGCTCAAGCGGTAGTGCGCTCGCCTGGCATGCGTGCGACCAGGGTTCGATCCTCAGCACCACATACAAATAAAGATGTTGTGTCCGCCGAGAACTAAAAAATAAATATTAAAAAATTCTCTCTCTCTCTCTCTTTAAAAAAAATATTTCTCTCTCTCTCTTTAAAAAAAAAAATATATCTATAGAGGTGCTTGAGAATTTTAGAAAAGAAAAATATACCATGGTATTGATTCTACCCCTTAAAGTCAATAAATTTTTCAGGTCAACAAGAATCTCTTAACTTCCAAGGCCCAGCACTACTATACACCATTTGGTTCAAGTTCTCTCATTTCCCACAAATTCATTCCCTTTTACCTTTAACCTTGAGCATCAAAGAACTTGGTGTACAGAGTTATCAAGCAAATCCACTCCATGTAGTTATTCTGATATGACTTTTATATAAAACACAGATCAATATGTACCTACCTTAAATGTCTTCTTCAGGTTGATAGGACTGCTGAATGTCCCCTAGGATTAAAGTGGAAAAAGCAACTTTAATGAGATCACCCAATCTCCCATTTTCCTTTTTACTACAGACTCTCTACAGCTCATTTTATAACTATTTAAACCCAGAAATTAATTTACAAGAAAAACTCCAGAGGGCTTAGTGAAATTATTACAACCTAGTTTATCAAGGAACTGGATTAAAAAGGAAGGTGCTCTTTCCAACTTTCTGCTAATCCAAATAGAAGCTGGGTATGGTGGTGAACACCTGTAATCAGAGCAGCTCAGGAGGCTGAGACAGGAAGATTGCAAGTTCAAGGCCAACCTCAGGAACTTAATGAGATCCTGTCTCAAAAATAAAAAGGGATGGAAATATATAACACAGTGGTAAAATATTCCCAGGTTTAATCCACAGTGCCAAAACAAACAAACAACAAAATCAAATAAGGGGGAAATATCCACTTGTGATCATTAAGTCCAAATCTCTTCAAAAACATTTTTAAGAAGGATTAACAGCTACCTGACATGCTGCTGTGGCTCTCTATACCATGGCAATCCACTGGAAATTATGGGCCTTTGAAGAGACTACTATGGGAACCAGCACCAGAGACAAAACATGGTATGCAAGGATGCCAAACTCTGTAAGATTTTTTCCCTCTTGGCTCACCCTTGTTGAGGGCCAGGAAAGCTTCCAGGTAGACTTCTGATAACTACATGCATTCATAACTACATGCATTCACTATTATAAGAATGCATCAAAATACTGGATTTGAACTATGTTCTTCTTGGGCAATGAGAGTTTGTGGGTCTTTCTTTCATGTTTTGCCTGTACCTCGGCCTCCATGTAGTGATAGAAGCAGGAGTAGAAAAGCGTTGTCACTAGTGGCATGTTGAGGATGGAAGCTTTGCGTGGGTGCTTTCGGAAGATCTCAGTCTGTCCTGCTGACTCTAGATGCCGATCATTTGCCTGTGATGGAGTGAGCCAAGTGAAAAAAACACAATGTCTATGGAGCAGAGGGAGGGAAACCTTTAATACCACAGCAGTTGTGTTTCCCACCCTAGGAATGAAGCAAAAAAAGAGAAAAAGAAGAAATTGCTTAGGATATCCCAAAGGGCAGTTAAATTCTATTAAAAAACATGGATCTAAGCTGAATAAAAAGATTGCAGAAGAGGTGATAACATGGGAGTTTCAGAATGAAGAGCAAATACTTTCATGTTAGCAAGAGAAGAAAAAGAATGCCTAAGAACAATCGAGGAAGGGGCTATAGTGTACAGAAAGGAAATAAAAGGCTTTTAGAGACTGTAACAGGAAATGACAAATAAGTGCAGAGCATAAGAGTTTCCTAGATGCTGAATGGCATTTAGCCTGGGCACTAAAGCAGAACAGAGATGAGAAGTCTAACCTCAATAATGATTTGACGTTCCAGGAGCGTATAATGGTCTTGTATGTGTGCAGAATCTTCTGCTGAAAATGGCAAACTGGTAGAGGGCCAGAAGGTTAGTACCTCTTTCTCTATGCAAAAAAGAAATACACTCAACTCAACCAAATTATCACTGTGAGCACAAAGGCTCACGGTGCTTTACAAATCTGATCTCAATTCACCTTTAGAACACCTCTTTAAGGAAGAGAGAAAGCAGAAAACAGAGTAGACCTTTGGCTTACATTTTGTATTTAAGATTTTGCCAATTCAAGAGGAATTCTTAAAAGTCCAAAAACACAATAATTAGCGATTCTGATGTAGAATGAATAAGAATCCTCACCTTTTGGAAGTTGGATGTTTGGGGCGTGAATCACAAAGCTAGTAAGTGAACCTAGCCAACTGCCCATCATCCACATCCCAATAAACCTCTGTAACACAGGTCACTGCTTAATTCCACCTAAAGGGCACTTAAATTTGTCACCCATTTTTTTATTGCAGAGTAATAACAATAAATTACATAGCACAGTCATAGGTTTGTAGATTAGCAAAGATTACAAAGATCTACCCAAATGTCAAAGGTCCCATCTTCAAAACCATGTTTTTATATACGAAAAAGTTGAGGGTCAGTGTCTTACCTGAAAGTCATGTGGCACACCAATGGGTAAGGCCAGGAATAGAAGCCAGATTTTAAACTCTCAGTTCATAGATCTACCCTTTAGAAAGTGCTGCCTTACTCCCGACTCCACTCACTCCAGGAAGAATTCTGAAATTCAATTACACTATCCCAGATAAGTGTGAGCCACAGTGAATTTTTTATAAGAGATAAAGGGAGACAGCAATAGGTTTGTTACGGCACTACTCTGACTTTTCTGTTTTCCAGAGGCCATTTGACACAGCTCAGTATTTGGTAAAATTAAAGATTCCACTAACATGCAAATTTCTAAATGTGAAATCTGGAAATCAGGTCACAAGAGGAATGGCTGAAACAACTGTGAACACTGAACCTGGAAAAGAGAGGACTAGTGGTAGACGTAAACCTGACTTGAAAGATAGAGTTAAGCAAGTTTTAGCTTAACACATGGGAGCACTTTCCAATAATGAGGTGTCCAACAATAAAATGAACTACTTCTAACAACAGAGCACGCCAGCATAGGAACAATATTATTACAAGGATTTATATTCTAGATGAAAGCTTATACTTGGATTTTGGGGTTTCAAGGACCAGTAACACACCCCCCAAAAATGCATGAGGTCTACAGGTCCATAAAGAGTTATGACCTTTTTATTACGTAAGATCATCTAAAAAAATTACAACCATTTTACTACCAAAAAAGGAGGGGAGAGGTGGGAACAAAATCCAAGAATAAAAGATAGTATCTCAAATAAATTTAGGTGTAGGGAAAAACTCTCTACATTGTCTTTATTTTTCTCACTTTACCATAAAACAGTAAAAACACTTGGGGAACTAATATTTGGGATCCACTAAACAAGATGACCTTTGGTGCCATCCCGTGAGGTTCACTGTCAGCCTTTCCCTCCCTACGTATCCATTCCACCCTCTTATTCTCTTCATTCCCTCTATATAAAGGTATGCATACATTCCTCTCCCATACTTACCCAATGCAGGTCTTAAGAAATTCTTTTCGCTTCTCAGGGTCCTGAATGTTCAAATGCTCTCGATAATGAGTTAGCTACAAAAAAAAACAAAAACAAAAACAGAGAAAAGCTTGGAGCCATATTGTCTCTTTTGAAGAGGAAGGTAGCCGAATAAGTGGACTTTCCATGCTTAAAAAAAAAAACAAAACAAAAAATTAAAACCAAATTCTTCATTCTTAGAGATCCATCTGGGTGCTAATGGTTATGCATGTGTTGGGAGAGTGATACAAAATCATTAGTGGCAAAAGTGGTACAAAATCATTAGTAGGTTCATCTCTACTTGCACTGTCCAATATGGCAGCCACAAGCCACATTTGGTTTAAAATTTAAATTAAGTAAGTTAAAAATTCAGGTCCTCAGTTGCCTTATCTGCTTTGTAAGCACTCAAAAGGTACAGGCACTAGCAGCTAACATATTGGACAGAAGAAATATAGACTATTTTCATCATCACAGGAAATTTCTATTGGATAGTGCTGATCTATAATGAAGCACTAAGTAGATAGAGCACCTAGCTTTAGCTGAAGTTTGGCTCTAGACTTAGTAATGCAACCAATAATGGCTATTTCCTTCAGTCTTAGCTTTTGAAAGGCCAAAATGCTAAATGTTTATTTCTAGAATCCTTAACCAATTATGTGATTAATCACATAAGTGATCAACCACTTAAATATGATTGTAAAATATCTAACAATTAACACTATCAGTAACACAAACAGAGCATGGCATCCTGATTCACTGCTCACAGCTAACTACTCATATTCATATTTAAATACTATAGGTTCTACATGTAATTCCAAAAGAAAATCTCTTCATGTATTTTCTATTTTGAAATTCTAAAAAGCACCCTGATTAGGGCTGAGGAAACAGCTCCATGATAAAATTCCTGTTTAACATGCACAATGCCAAGGGTACACTCCCCTGTACCACAAAAAACAAACAGACCCTGATGTATTTGTTATTATGAGTTAAGTGATTTATTTGTTATTATGAATTAAGTGATACAATAATCATTAGAATTGTGATAGCTGAAATTTTACACATAATCATTAACTTTCCAGGGCTGTGGCTGTGGCTCAGTGGTAACATGAGGGAGATACTGGGTTCGATTCTCAGCACCACATACAAATAAATAAAATAAAGGTCCATCAACGACTAAAAAAAAATGTTCAAAAAATAATCATTAACCTTCCAAGAAGTGAAAAATAAATAGATTGACATGAAAAATAAATTGATAAAAACATACAAAAATTAAGAGAATACAATGGCCTCAGGAAGGATAGTACATCCTTTTAGAGCTAACAGAATGTTTACAAAAATGTAAATGATGGGCTGGGGATATGGCTCAAGTAGTAGCGTGCTCGCCTGCCATGCGTGAGGCACTGGTTCGATCCTCAGCACCACATAAAAATAAAATAAAGATATTGTGTCCACCTAAAAGCTAAAAAATAAATATTTTTTTAAAAATGTAAATGATGATATAAGACAAAATAATAGAAATCACTTTATGTCATAATTTAGTCTTCGAAAAATATTTGGTACACAGAATTCTTAATATTGAAGGAAGTACCTTTAAGAACCACAGTTAATTTTTTGTTAATCAATTCCATTTCTTCTTAAGTTTTTCAAGAAAAATTCTACTTGGGAAATCTTTATGTCCTAGGAGAACGGACTAAAGGTAGATTATCAGTTTTGCCACTTCAAAAGTGTACAAAGTTGGAAAAAGCTAAATTTACATACAACAACATGCATGATTAATCATCTTCAATTCAATACAATGAGGATAAATTTTAGATAAAAATTCTAGATAAAAAACACATTTATTCTCATAATCAAACTTCAAAAAAACCAAACTCTTTAAGAATGTTATATGAAGAAAATTCTTCATGGTCTTATGGTTTTTGTTTTTTTTAATTTATTTTTTTAGTTGTAGTTGGACACATTACCTTTATTTTATTTATCTCTCTTTATGTGGTGCTGAGGATCGAACCAGGGCCTCGCATGTGCTAGGCGAGCACTCTACCACTGTGCTGCAACTCCAGCCTTCTTATGGGTTTTTAGGGTTTTTTTTTTTTTTTTTTTGGTACTGGGAATTGAACCCAGGGGTATTTTTCCACTAGGCTACCTCCCCAGCCCTTTTTTAATTTTTAATTTTGGGACAGGGTCTTGCTAAGTTTCTAAGGCTGGCCTCAAACTTGTGATCCTCCTGCCTCAGCCTCCAGAGTAGCTGGGATTACAGATGTGTGCCACTGTACATAGTTCCTCATGGTTTTGAGCTTATGAAGATTAAAAACAGAAACAAAAAGCTCTTCAAATGATTACTACAGACTGTCAGTAATTTTTTGTAGATTAAGATAAAAGATATTTCAAATTTTCCCATGGCTTGAATTTTAGTACAGGTTCCTTTTAGAAAATATTGGACAAACATTTTCCTGAATTCTGCTGTGTAAAGGTTAATAATGTTATTAAATGTGCTAGATGAGTATCACTGACATCATCACAGATATGCAGTACAATGATAAAGGAATAATCCTGCTATCAACATTGCTAAGAAATTCTATTGCTGCACTATAATATCAAACTTTAAAAAATGGTTCACTAAAGTTTTAATAATACAATTAAGTTTTTGGTAAAATTTCAGATTTGTTTTTGTATTTCAGTTCATTCTATGATTGTCAAAATCTGCCAAAGAAACCAATTATCACACTTGGTAATCAAACACTCAGCCAAGATATATACACCTATCTTTCTTCTTCCTTTTTTTTTTTTTTTTTTTTAGTATCAGAGATTGAACCCAGGTGCACTTAACCACTAAGCCACATTCCCCAGTTCCCCAGTCCTTTTTAAACTTTTTATTTCACAACAGGGTCTCCCTAAGTTGCTAAGGTTGGCTTTGAACTTGTGATCCTCCTGCCTCAGCCTTCCAAGCTGCTGGGATTACATATATGTGCCAACACACCTGGCTCTATACATAAGATAAGCCCTTTCTTTCTTCTTGACCTACATATGGCTTTTTATTCTTAGCTTCCAATATCTTTAGTCTTAGAAGCCAAAACCCATCCTTATTAGAATAAATTCCATATATGTGTAATATGTCAAAATACACTTCACCATCATATTCATCTAAAAAGAAGAAATTTAAAAAATTTTTAAAAGACATATTTTCAAGGGGGGAAAAAAAGGAAGCCAAATCCCAAAAGTTCCTACAAACAAGGACTTGAAAACAAATTACAAACTGCTTGGTCCAGTATTCATTCACTTTAAATCTGTTTTAAAGATTTAAGCCCGGGCTGGGGATGTGGCTCAAGTGGTAACACGCATGCCAGGCGAGCCACTGCACATAGCCACTGCGCTGGGTTCGATCCTCAGCACCACATAAAATAAAGAAGTTGTGTCCACCAAAAACTGACAAATAAATATATATAAAAAATTCTCTCTCTTCTTTCTGTCTTAAAAAAAAAAAAAAAGATTTAAGCCCAACCAAAAGAGCATGGAAAAAGAAAGCAATATATCATTTGGTTTAAGTTTTCAGGTTTCCTAGATGCCTTTCTCTTCTGGATATTACCAATATCAAAGGAAAGGACAGTCTGGGATCTTGGAAACTGGGTTTTGGCTTAGATGTCTATTAGATAGGTCCCCAACTGAAATAAAGGCCACACTTACCGCAAGCTCTTCTGTTCTATCTAGGAACCTGGGAAGAAGCAGAAGGGAGCAGGGCATTTTTATCTATTGATATGTGGCATATAACCTCAAAAAATAGGGTGAATGTTCTATACATAAGATAAGCCTTTCTACCTCCAGCAACCCCTTCAAAACACTTGGTGGTTCACATATCAGTTTTCCTGTTTTTTCTAGTTGTATGAAATGTAAGGACAAGAAGGCACTACAGGGTAATAAGAACTTAAACCAAAACAAAACAAAACAAAAAAAAGAGCTTAAACCAAACCTACTCTGGCCCAAAGTAACCTTGTTTATTTTAAAAATATTAAATAAATCTATTAAATCAATCTTGGAGATTGTTTAAAGATATATTCTTTATTGTTCTTTTTCATGTACAGAGTACAATATATTTGGTCTCCCCCAAAAGCTAGGTAAGGCCTTAAGACACAAGGACTCTTGTCTTCTGAATCCTCCTGACTCTGAAGAGACAGCCTCCATGCTTTAGCATGGAGGTGATACTTGATAAAGCTTCTTTCAAAGGCAGGCAGGAAGAGTCAGAAATTAGCCTACCTCCAGGAACTCTTCTTTTGCAAATTCCTGGTTAACCATCTGTAATCTTGACCTTAATCAGGTAACCTGCTTTCCCCACCTTAGTCTTCAATGCAGTTCATTACTGTTCTGGAGTTTCTGGGTAACCAGAATTATCTTGAGCCACAGAGCCTAAATAGGTTTCCAACCCCTTCCCTGATATTGAAGAAAGGATAAAATGTCCATGCATTTTAATCCAAGGGCAGGAAATAGTCCCACTAACTAGAAGGAAAACATGACAGAAGATCACATCCCACCCTCCTTTATCTCCAGCAGATATTGCCTATCTCTCACCAATCAGAAACCTACCTAGCCTCAGAGGCCCAACTCAAATCCTAATCACTGCCTTGAGATTATGCTTGGGTATCCTGACTGAAAGTCATGTTTTCTTCTCTTCTACTGAATTTCTCATTAGCATCACTTAGGGCTGACTAATAAAAGACACATTTAATCTAGGTCTTTTATTTTAAAAAAATCTTAATGAATAGGCATTATGCTAAATGCTAAGTCTCAAAACTAACTCAATCTTCATGACTCTATGGGTAGGTACCATCGTCTTCACTTTATAGGTGTGAACATTGATACATGGAGAAGTCTGGAAACTTGCTCCAGGTTACTCTATAAGCTAAATAATAGAGCTTAAATTCATGCCAGGTATGTCAGACTCTACAGCTTGGTTCTTAACATCCTGCTGTAATGTCATGTACCCCAGTACATGGGGTTAAGTCATCATATTTCAATATCTTGTCTTAATTGTTTCCAGAAAAATGACAGTGTCTTCCATTTCTTAGAGTACTTTTTAAAAGTACTTAGTAAAGTTTATTGAACAGAGGATCATCAGTTCTTACCTGAAGAGCTCTAAAAGCAGCTTTTGATCCCCTATTTCCTTAAGGAAGTGAATGAAATGTCTCAGGGCAATCTGTCGCACCTCCAGCTCTCGGAAGAGTATTTCTGGCAGAAAGGAAGAAACAGTTAGATGGAGACAAGAGGAAAGTTTATTACTCAAGTGTGAAATTGGCCTCCTAAACACCTTCCAAACATTCTCTCCTCAGAGGCAAGCAAAAACTAAGGATGGCCTACTCCTAAGTTTCAACCCTATCAAAGCCTCTAAGGTTCACATTAACTCAGAGCTTTTGAATAGCCTTTCAGCTCTCATCAACCCACACAGCAGGCATTTAGCATGGATTTTTACTTCCTCAAACACACAGTCATCCACAATCTGTCCAATAAATAGAGGGGGCTTTGTCATTAATGTAGTAACCCTAAAGGATGACCTCAGAGATGTGATGTGTGTTCCGAGTGACAGCCACGCAAGCTGTCTCTAAAACAGATTTGATAATGGTGAATTCTGGCATGAAAGCCGCATGCCATTCTCTCCTAAAGGTGTCCATCAAATCACGCTCACCTTTGCTCAGTGTCCTCTTCAAGAAGATCAAAACCTAGAGGGAAAAGAACAAAGAATGAGCAATGTTTCAAATACAAAGCCCTTCCCCTATCACCTAATGTGAATGAAGTCAGCAACTCAGGAATCTCTACAAGACACAGACAATAGACCTCTCCATGGGAATGGAAAGAAAGGTGATGGATATCTGGGACTGAACTGTGCCTCGGGAGACCCCTTGTGGTGCCCACAGCAGCTGAGAGATACCTCCTTGGTCTCACATCTCTCCTCTCTCCGATTATTTTACATATTTATTTTTTAAAGGATATTATTTGAGTATTTTTAAAGGAGAAACTTTATTATTTTTTATAACTATTTTTGTATGTGGTGCTGAGGATTGAACCCAGTGCTTCATGCGTGCTAGGCAAGCACTCTACCACTGAGTCACAACCTCAGCCCTATTTTCTTATACATATTATATAAAGTAGCCAATTTTCTGATTTGGGGGTTACAATAAAGAGTTCCACACACAATGGTTGTCCCACCATCTGAGCCTTGGAGCAGAAACTGTTGAGAATCCTATACCTCAGGGGAAAATCCAGAATTTTTACTTGACATTTAAACCCAAAATGGTAAAGTCTATTTTGACAGGATTTTCAGAAATCAATGGAAACAACAAAATCTCACAACTTACTGCAGTAATGACGTTTCCATCATGCATGCTTACTGCCTCCTCCAGGAGTTGTAGCTTGTCCTGTAAGGAGCGGAATCTTTCTAGTGAACAGACCTGGTCACATAAGAACACAATTAGTACATAAGGAAAAAAAAAAACAAAAACAGTGTCCTATATTCCTTTGTCATTTTAATAGTAAGAAATGAGCAATAATGAAAGCAAATGTCCCCAAGGAGAGTCTCTATATTTACACTATGGTCCCCAGTACTCTATGAGAGAGGAGACTCCTACATCCTCTCTTGTCCAGCCCAATGCCCTATAAAATGCTAATGAAGCCTTGACAAAATCAACAGATCACTTGCTGTTTAATAATGTGTAATTTATACACAATAAAGTCTACCTTACTCAAATATATAGTTCACTGAGTTCTAAAAGGATGTGCAATCACGTTACTACTACCACAACAAAGTCAGAATATTTCCATTACCCCAAAAGGTCCCTCGTTCACTCTGACATCCCCATTCCTTGGCAACCACTTTCCTGTTTTCAGCTAATGTGAGTTTGCCTTTCCTAGAAATGTTACAAAAATAAAATCATATATTTACTCTTCTGTGACTGGCTTCTCTCACTCAATATCATGTTTCAGAGATAAAGCTGTGTGTTGTGTTGAGTATCACTAGTTTCTTCCTGTTTAGGTTAGTTGTTTTCATGTGTGAATATACCACAACTTCTTTATCCATTTATTGGATACTGTGTGGTTTCCATTTTGGGGGCTTATTTTAAAAAAAGCTGTTATGAAAATTTGTGCCCAAGTCTTTGTATGAACATACATTTAATTTGCCTTGAACTATAAATATCTAGGAGTGAAATTACTGGGTCATACAATAAGTATATGTTAATAAGAAACCACAAGGCTGGGTGTAGTGGCATGCACCTGTCATCCCACTGGCTTGGGAGGCTGAGGCAGGAGAATCACAAGTTCAAGGCCAGCCTCAGCAATTTAGCAAGACTCTAAGCAACTTAGCAAGACCCTGTCTCAAATTAAAAAATAAAAAAGGCTGGGGATGTGGCTCAGTAATAAAATGCCTCTAAGTTCAATCCCTGGTACAAAAAAAAAGAAGGAAATCAACAGACTATTTTCTGAAGTAACTTTACAACTTTACGTTCTCACCAGTCATATATGGGTCTTGTTCTTCTGTATCTTCCCAACACTTAATATGCACAGTCTTTCTAAATTTAGCCATTCTACTGGGGATTTAGTAGTATTTTATGGTTCAAACTCACATTTTTTAAAAATATTTTTTAGTTGATGTAACTTAATTTTTTTATTTATTTATAGTGGTGCTGAGGATCGAACCCAGTGCCTCACACATGCTAGGCAAGTACTCTGCAACTGAACCACACCCCTAGCCCTAATTCACATTTTTTTGATAACTATAATGCTGACCATCTTTCACGTTCTTCGGGTCATTCATGTTATCTTTTTTTTAAAATATATTTTTAGTTGTAAATGAACACAATACCTTTATCTTATTTACGTACATATGGTGCTGAGGATCAAACCCAGTGCCTCACACATACTAGGAAAGTGCTCTATCACTGAGCTACAGCCCCAGCCCCTCATTTTTTGTGATGTATCTGGTCAAATCTTGTGCCAATTTTTTATTGGACTATCCTAGATAAAAGTCCTTTATAATATGTTAATTTTACAAATATTTATTCCTAGTAATGGTTAAGTCTTTTCATGTTTTAATACTGTTTTCAAAAAACCAAAGTTTATAATCTTGATGAAGTTCCATTTATTTTTTTCCTTTATGGTCTTTTGTGTTGTAAGGAATGAATCTTTGCCTAATTCAAGATCATAAAAAATTCCACCTCTACAGATTTAGCACTTACATTAAGATCTATGAGTCATTTGATACATTAATGATTACAATCTAATTCTCCCGTAATTAATCTACAGAATCAAAGCAATTCAAATCAAACTCCCAGCAGCTCTTTTGTAGACACTGCCAAGCTGATACAAAAATCTACATGAAAACATAAATGATCTAGAATAACCAAAACAATTTTGGAAGCAAAGAACAAAGTTGAAGAATGAAAGCTTTAGAAGAGTTAAAGTATCCAATTTCAATACTTACTACAAAGTTAAAATAATCAAGACTGTGGTAATTACACAAGAACAGACTTATCAATGAACTAGAATAAAGAGTCCAGAAATAAATGTACACACATATGGTCAATTGATTTTCAAAAAAGGTACTTACTGAGGCTGTTCAATGAGGATTGGTTTTTCTTTTTTAAATCTTTATTTTATTTATTTTTATGTGGTGCTGAGGATCGAACCCAGTGCCTCGCAAGTGCGAGGCAAGCATTCTACCACTGAACCACAACCCCAGCTGGATTATTGGTTTTTGAACAAATAGTGCCATAAAAAAATGGGGAACTATATGGAAAAAAAATGAACCTCAACCTTTATTTCACACCATATACAAAAATTAACACAACAGATCATAGAAAACTTAAAAGATTATTCTCACTCTCAAAGTATTTTTTCCTATCATCCACCTCTATTTACTTTCTACTCTGTCAAAGCAACACTAAACCCTGGATAAAGTCAAAAATTGTACAACTAATTTTCAACTTTAGTGGATTTATTTTCCTCCTCAACATCACTTCATTTAGCAAATGGAAACTGAAAAGAGAGGTCAAGATATCCTTCCTGAGGGAACAAGATATCCAGCTTACCAAAGAATCCTACCAGAATTCTCTCCAGTGCCCTCACCTTGCCCTTCCGGAGGCGTCGTACTGTGTCACTGGGGCTCCACTCATTGCTGTAATCCTGGAATATTAGCAACACATGAATTCCAGGAAGTTAAGGTATCAGAATTATCAGTGTACCAGCTCCTCACCTCAAACTCTGTCTTGTCTCTAAGCGGAAAACAGTTTATGGGAGAAAACCAATGAGTAAAATGAAGAACTGGGATGGTGCTGTTTAGAGTTTCTGAAGTAACTAGAGCAGGGACAATGCAGGCAGGAAGAGATGGATCAGACAGGGAAGAACCACAGGCATGGTAACCCTATGCCTACTGGTTCAGGATTTTAACCCCTAGATGCAGTTACAGTCAAGTGTTGAGCTCTTAATAATTAATACCTTTGGCCAGAGAAAGACAGAAGTTTGAGACATGTTCCTTTTTTTATCTTAGAATATAGTTTCTTCCTATGAATCAATTTGCATTTTTACACATTTCATAAGAATATGAGCTCCACCAAGCTTCCAGATTGCAGAGAGATCAATGAGTTTCAAAGTATAGCCTTCAAAATTCAGCACAGCTGAGCACGGTGGCACACATCTATAATTCCAGAAGCTTGGGAGGCTGAGGCAGGAGGATTGTGAGTTCAAAGCCAGCCTCAGCAACTTAGCAAGGCCCTAAGCAACCCAGCAAGACCCTATCTCTAAATAAAATACAAAGAAGGGATAAGGATGTGGCTCAATGGTTAAGTGATCCTGGGTTCAATCCCCAGTACACACACACACACACACACACACACACAAAGTCAGCATAATGGGTAAGGAAAGTATGCTAGGATTGAGTTGAAAAATACAGATTTTTGAGTCTAAGTTCCACCTTTCCCCAGCTGTGAGACCCCAAGAAAGCACTACTGTTAAGAAACCCAGTTTTCTTATCTATAAAAACAGGGTTAGAAAGATGGGGGAGAGGTGTTAAAATACAGTCATGTGCTATAGAATGACATAAATAACAATGGATTGCATAGGCAATGGTGATCCCATATGACTATATAATGAAACTGAAAAGTTCCTACTGCCTCGTAAGTACTTACAGTATACCTTTTCTATATTAAATACGTTTAAAGGACTGAGGGTATAGCTCAGTGTTAGAGTGCTTGCCTAACATGTAGGAAGCCCTGGGTTCAATCCCCAGCATTGAAAAAAAGAAATAAGAAGAAGAACAAGATACATTTGGATACACAAATACTTAACCACTGTGCTACAGTTTCCTACAGTATTCAGTATAGTAACATGCTTTACAACTTTAAACTCTAGACCCAATTGACTATACCATACAGCCTAGGTGTATAATACACCGTTACCATTGAAGTTTGTGTAAGTACACCTTACATTATTTGCACAATGGTGATATCACCTAACAATGCATTTCTCAGAACATGTACTGTCATTAAGCAACATATAACCGTAATATCTGCTTGGAGAGTTGGGGAAGTTAAGCAAGGTAACATAGGTCAAGGTACTTTATATTGTGTACAGCCACATCAATATTAAAAATAACTCACCCTATACTCCCCCTTGGGCCTCCCCAGTTCTGGAGCATAGCTTTTGGCAGGTGTGTCCGACAGAGCTGAAAAAGAATAGGCAGCTGATTCAAAAAGGCACCCGGAGTCCTGTTTCTAGTTATTCCTTTCCTCTGCTGTTTCCTATCACACACATATTTTCAGACTTGTAGCCTCCCAAGCTATCTTTATGGCCAAAAGTAGATCTCAGTTCTTCCCCAACACAAAACCCCTAAGAAGTTATCTGTTGTCTCTGTAGCTTGAATGACTTCTACCTCCTTACTTAGCATCAAAAAATTTCTCTAGGGGCTGGGGTTGTGGCTCAGTGGCAGAGCGCTTGCCTCGCACATGTGAGGCACTGGGTTCGACCCTAAGCACCATATAAAAATAAATAAACAAAATAAAGATATTGTGTCTATGTATAACTAAAAATATTTTTTTAAAAAATTCTCTGGGGCTGGGGATGTGGCTCAGGTGGTAGCGCGCTCGCCTGGCATGCGTGCGGACCGGGTTCGATCCTCAGCACCACATACAAAACAAAGATGTTGTGTCCACCGGAAAAAAAAAAACTAAAAAATAAATATTAAAATATTCTCTCTCTCTCTTAAAAAAAAAAAAAAATCTCTAATAATGGTGGTAGATTCAGAAAAAAGTTCAGCTGGTTATCTAATTACCACCTGTCCCTACATCCCTATCAGACTGAATGCCAGATCAGAAACATTTCCCACAGCAATCAAGAGATATACCTTACCATCAGAAAGGGACTGGAAACTTCCAGGTCTAGTTCTACCTAAAGGTAAAGAACACAAAAAAGAAGAGGTCAACAGAATTCAAGTCGTAGCCTCCTAGATTTAGTTAAGGATGCAGTGTATATAGAATCTTATTACACAGTATTGAAATTTAAGACTTAAAAAAGCTTTTACTTGACTTCAGAAACTCAAGCTGCTATTTCAAGAAAAAAAGAAGGAGGAAAAAAGTTTTAACTTCGGTAAAACATACATAACAATAAAATTTACTATTCTAACCACTTTTAACTATGTAATTCAGTAGCATTAAGTACCTTCATGTTTAATGATTTTGCCATTATCACTAAAACTTTTCATCATCCTAAACTGAGACTCTGTGTCCTTAAACAATAACTCTCCATTCTTCTCAGTCCTGGCCATTGATAACCACCTTCTACTTTGGGTCTCTACGAATCTTCCTACTCTAGGGACTTCATGTAAATTAAGTCAGACAATATTTGTCCTTTTATGTCTTTCTCATTTTTTTAGCATAATGCCTTTAAGGTTCATCCATATTTTAGCAAGTATCAGAATTTCTTGTCTTTTTAAGGTTGAATATTCCACTGAATTATGGATATCATATTTTGTTTATATATTCTTCCCTCAATGGACACAGGGACATTTTTAATCTTTGGCTATCATGAATAATGCTACTAACATTAGTGCAGAAATACCTATTCAAATCCCTGCTTTCAATTCTTTTTGGCATATACCTAAAAGTGAAATTGCTGAGTCACATAGTAATACTATGTTTAATTTTTTTGAGGAACTGCCATACTATCTTCTACACTGGCTACACCATTTAATATTCCCAATAGTACTGCACAAGGGACAAGGAGAAATTTTGATACAGGCAAATTTCTTCAATGTCTCTCACAGGATTAATGTCAATTTTGTTCATCATATTATACAAATATAGTCCAATGCCTGTGAATTTCTTATTTCTCCCACTCTTAATATTCGGCTGCCAGATCCAAAAATTCATTGTCCTTCAATAATTTTTTTCCCCAGAGTAAATGGAAATTATAGCCTGAGTATTTTTCTGAAGAAAGAAAAAACTTCCCTATCCCATTAACCATCACTCTACCTCTAAAGAAGCTGCTCAGGGAGTAGGTAGAAGTAGGTTTGGGTAGCTGTGCATAGGAGAAGCTGTTTCGGTTCTTTAGCTGTTCACGTCCCTCATGGCTTGACCCACTATTACCAGCAGTCTCTTTGATGGACCATGAGATACCTGCAAGACAGTAAGAACTAAACCAACCTAAAATAAATGCTTGACATCTATTATGGTCTGGATCTAGAATGTCCCCCAAAGACCCATGTACTGAAGTTTGGTCCCTAATGCAGCAATGTTCAGAGGTAAATCTTCTTTTGGGAAGGTGATTTAATCATGGGCTCCAAACTCATCACTGGATTAATCTACTGATTGATTCATAATTTAAAGGCATTACTGGGAGGCTAGGGAAACTGTAGGAGGGAGGGTCTAGTTGGGGGAAGTAGGTCACTGGGGGCATGCCCTAGAAGGGTGTATCTTATCCCTAGCTCCTTCTCTCTCCCTCTCTCTGCTTCCTGGTTACAATGAGCTGAGCAGCTCTGCTCTGCCATGCCCTTTGCCATGATGTTCTGCCTTCCACAGGCCTAGAAACAATGAAGCCATCTGACTATGGCTACACCATTTAATATTGTGAGCCAAAATAAAACTTTCTGGTACACTAAATTTATTTTCTCCCAGTGACAAAAAGCTGATTAACCATATCTGATATTCAACAAACTCTAAAAGCTTTTCATTAGAGGTTCTTGGCCAGCATGGGGCAGGAGGAAAAGACAGAATCAAATAAACTAATCCACACAAAAATGGGCAAAGGACATGAATAATGGGTCACAGAAAAGAAATTTAAATGACTTTTAAATGTATGAAAAAGACGTTCTACTTCCTTTTTTCTGGTACTAGAGATTGAACCTAGGTGCCTCTACCACTGACCACATCTCCAGCACTTTTTATTTTTTTGAATTTTGAGACAGTTTTTCACTATGTTGCTGAGGATGGCCTTGGATACTATCCTCCTGTCTCAGCCTCCCAAATCACTGGGTTACAGGCATATGCCATCATGCCCAGCTTCTACTTCATTCTTAATAAAAAATATTATAAATTAAAAGCATAATGTGATACCATTGGTCTCCTATAAGATGGGTAAAATGAAAAAGTTTTATCATGTCCTATGATAGAAAGGTTGTGGGGAAAACAGGAACCCTCTTAATACTCTGGTGGGTGTACAGCTAGTACGACCCTTATGAAAGGTAATTTGGCATTATATATTCAATAATGATGCAGATATCCCACAATAGCAATTCTACTTTAAGAACTGATTTTTCAGAATTAAAGATTATTGACAGGAATAAGGTTGGAAACAATCTAAAGTTCATTGACAGTGGACTGGTTAAATATATTATGGTAATCCATACATATGCTACTGTTTAAACATATGCTACTGTTTAAAAAATTAAGAGAATGAGAAAGCTCTTCACATACTGATATGAAAACAATCTCTAAGCTATTATCACATAAAAAAAGTAAGGTTGGGCTAGTGAGTATAGCTTAGTGGTAGAGCACTTGTCTAGCACGCATAAGGCCCTGAGTTTGATCCCCAGCACTGCAAAAACAAAATAAAAAACAAAAAGAGCAAGATATTTAAAAATGCTACTGCTTGGATAAACAGAGGGGTAAAAATAAATACTCCTATAAGCATTTCCAAATATAAAAATAATCTTTAAATAGTTACAGAATAAGCAAGCAACACTGATTGTTTTCTGGAAGGCAGGGACAGAGAATGAAGACCATTCTTAACAATGTAGAATAGAAGGGAAACTGTTAATATATACCATTCTTTTTTTTTTTCTTTCTTTCTTTACTTTTACGGTAGTCAGGTACAGTGGCACACTCCTATAATGTCACCTACTTGGGGGCCTAAAACAAGAGGATCCCAAGTCTGAGCCAGTCTGGGCAACTTAGTAAGACCCTGTCTCAAAATAAAAAAGGTCAGTGATATAGCTCAGTGGTAAAGCATGCCTGGGTTCAATCCCCAGTATTGAAAGAAAAAAAAAAGTTACAGTATCCCCCTTTACTTATCTATGTATCTATCTATTTATTGTTTATGGATGCTGGGGAATGAACTTGGGGCACTTTACCACTAAATCACATCCCCATCCCTTTCTATGTTACTCTTTAAAATTCTGAGACAGGGTCTTGCTAAGTTGCTTAGGGCCTCACTAAGTTGCTGAGGCTAGCTTTGAACTTGTAATCCTCCTGCCTCAGCCTCCTGAGTGTCCAGGATTACAGGTATGTGCCCCTGCCACCCAGATATCCCGTTTAAAAAACAACAACAAAAAACTGTGAAGCACTAAGCAACTCACTGAGACCCTGTCTTTAAATAAAAACCAAAAATAGGGTTGGGGATGTGGCTCAATGGTTGAGTACCACTGAGTTCAATCCCCAGTTCCAAAAAAATAATCAGATGGACTCTGCCAAGGTGTTAAGTAGTATTATACAACAGCTAAGCAGTTAAGACTTGGTGGCTAAGGAAGTTGGTTCCACCAATTAATTATGAATATTTAAGTTAAGGGTTGCCAAATGTGACTATATATTAGAATCACCTACAATATTGATTAAAAATTGTGACCCAGGACCTGGGGATGTAGCTCAATGATAGAGCATAAGACCCTGAGTTCAATCCCTAGCACACACACCAAAAATAGTGATATTCCCTTTCCCCAAAAAAAACCTATAGAATCAGAATCTCTGGGGCAAAGCCTAGGAATCTGCCATTTTAACAAGCACCCCAGTAAGTCTGAAATAGCCATGTGGAAACTACTGCTCTATCTTTTCCTGATTTTAAACTTTCCAAGTATGTTCATCTGATAACTGTCTAACCTCATTCCCTTTAGTGACCAGCATTAAGGAGAAAAACAAGTGGCAGCGTCACTAATGACCAGAACTCAGAATGTCAGCACTCTCCGAGGGCCTCTTCTACTTACTTCCCACAGGCTCTCCACTCCAGCTGACTCGCTCCAGGTCGTCGTCATCATCATCATCCACGAAATCTCGAAGGCTATTCACGGCCCTCTTTGATTCCTTTAACTACAGAGGGACATTAGATGGGACGATCGTCACTTCCCACTCCTCTCTTTGATAACTAGGAAGGCTGAATACATAAAACTTAAAGATGGCCAACAGTTTCACTGTCTGCAATCTAAAGTCTAGCATATAGAAAACAAATTATGTTCTAGCCAACACTGCAGTCCAGAGGTGTTAGAGTTAGGATGAATCACAGTTACTTTTGAGTCCTAATCAATTCTTGACAACTTTCAGTGTAAACTTGAGTGAATTTATTTACCTCTCCAAAACTGAGTTTGTTTCTCCATTTGTAAAAAAAACACAATAAAATGAATTTTCCAGTATAGGACATCTTTCAAAAATAAAGTAACCAGGTGCAAGTGGTGCACACCTGCAATCCCAGCTCTTCAGGAAGCTGTGGCACAAGGACAACTTGAGCCCAGGAGTATGAGACCAACCTGAGAGATCCCATCTCAAAAACATTATAAGTGATATCATATGAATAAAAGACCTGAAGTTCTTGGGGAGGGGGTGGAAAAACTGAAAGGAATGAATCATCTCACGAAGGTAAAGTAAGTTGGGTGTGGTAGGTACAGCTGTAATCCCAGCAGCCCAGGAGGATTACAAATTTGAGGCCATACTTGCCAACTTAGTGAGATAATGTCTCAAAACTTTAAAAGGGCTGGAGATGCAGCTCAGTGTTAGGGCATACTTGGGTTCAATCCCTAGTAGAACAAAAAAAAAAAAAAAAAAAGAAAAGAAAATAAGAAGGGCAGAAAGTCAGTTTTTACAATCTTTCTTGAGAAGATTTCTCTAGGAAGGTCATTATAGTTTGAATCTTCAATATCCCCCAACAGCCTTTGTGTTAAAGGCCTGGACCCCAGAGTGTTACTGCTGAGAGGTGGAAGAACCTTTGAGAGGTGGGAGAACCTTTGAGAGGTGGGATCTAGTGGGAGGTCCTTGGGTCACTGGGGTCATGCTGTCCAATGAAATCATGGGACCCTACCCGTTCCTATTCCTCTCCTCACCCCCTGGCCATGAAGGAGTGGTTCTGCCACACCACATGTCTCGGCCATGATGTGCTGCCTCATCACAGAACCAGAGCAATGGAGCTAACCAATCATGCTCTTTGAACCTCTAAAACTCAGAGTCAAAATGAACCTATTTCTTTATAAGTTGATTATTTATTTTGTTGTAGTGGGGGAAAAGTTGACAAACACAAAAATTCTTTCTGAAAATCTGACCCAAAACATTTCTGAACTGAATGGACACATGGTCAAAAGCTGGGCTACCCAGGATGCAAGAGGAAGCAGTAGTATCATGGAGGTGAATGCGACCTTCAGCAATTATTTGTGGAAACCTACCTGTGAGAGCTCATCATCTTCATCATCAAAGGTGAAAGCCTTGAACTTGGAGCTGTTCCAATACTCCTCCTCATCACCTTTAGTCCGATTCATCTGGAACAAGAAGACAGATGTATGTACCTTTCTGAATCCTTCCCAGAAAAGCTCCAAAAGTTTTCCTTCCAAAAGCTCCAAAAGGTTCACTTTATTCAAGAAACACTCTGAGGTGTTATAAGGGGTATAAAAATAGTTTAAGACAGTATCATCCTAAAAGACCACAAAAACCAGGCATGGTGGCGCATATCTGTAATTCCAGTGGCTTAGGAGGCTGAGGCAGGAGAATTCCGAGTTCAATGACAGCCTCAGCAACTTTGAGAGGCCCTAAGCAACTCAGTGAGACTCTGTCTCAAAATTTTAAAAAAGGGTAGGGGTGTAGCTCAGTGGTTAAGTGCCTCTGGATTCAATCCCTGTTACAAAAAAAATCCTACAACAGAACTGGGGAATTCAGCACAGCAATGTATACAGGACAAAGCATAAGGCAGGTAAATTCTACAAGAATTCATCACAAACTTTGCTGAAGACACAAAAATCAATGAAAGGACAAACAAAACATAGTAACTATATCCAACATATATCTAGCAAGTGTCACTACTGAGGCACTGTTCTAGGCTCTACTGTGAATCAAAATGACAATAATCTCCCTCTCACATGTGCTTTTTAAATGCTTGAAAGATGGTAAAGCTATTTAAAAAAGCAGAGCTATCTTGCCTTCAAACCATGATTATTTTATTAACAACTTGGCCAAAATTTAGGAAACAAGAGCATGGCTAAGAAAAGAAAAGACATAAAGAATTGGTCGAAGGACCACAAGTCAGTCTCATAACTATTCTAAAATTAGAGATCATCCTGCAAAAACAAGTTTGTCCTAGAATTACAAACTAAACTATTAATGCCAACAGGATTACAGTGAAAACTATGCTTTAAACCAAGAACAAGAGACCGAAACTTCCACAGCAACAAAACTAACTCCAAAGGCTACACAGCATCAAATTCTAGAGGAAAAAATTGCTGTTCCTTTTATTTCAATAGCACCTTTCTCAATAAAAACTTTATAAACATTCATCACAGGGGCCCTCCTGAGGCTTCTGATGGCACTTAACATACTATACTCTTACTGCCTGACTGTTTTCCACTCAGGGGATACAGGGATGTAAAAGATAACGGTAGGAACTTTCTAATCTCATCCCTTCTCAAGACAGATATCACAAATTGAATCCTACTGGGGGCTGGGGATGTGGCTCAAGCGGTAGCGCACTCGCGTGGCATGCATGTGGCCTGGGTTCAATCCTCAGCACCACATAAACAAAGATGTTGTGTCCACCGTAAACTAAGAAATAGATGTTGAAAGTTCTCTCTCTCTCTTTAAAAAAAAAAAAAAAAAACAATTGAATCCTACTGAACACAGAAGTGGCTTAAAAATCCTTTTTCTGGACTTAATTCTAGGGAGTCAAAACCCAGTAAAAAAGCTGGCAGACATAATGAAATCATCCATTATGGTAGTGCAAGTACAGGTGTTATAGTCAGGCAATCTTGAATTCAAATCTTAGTGTTTGATACTGAACAAACAAGGACAACTACTTCACTGTCAAATCTTGCAGAAAAGACACTATATAGCGTTGCAGTAATAAATAGGACTCAGAAAACCTAACAAAGTTATGTTTTCTTTATGTCTTGGTTTCCTCATTTGCAAGATAGACTTAACAGATGACCTACCTTATGGGTTTGCTTAAATCAATTAAAACATGTAAAGTGCTTAGCACCTGATAGAAAATTAATGCCCATCACTAACATTTATTAATTAATCACTATAGTACCTTGAGAAAAGACAGTAGAAATACTTGCAAGCACTCTAATATGAAAATTCATAAGTGGCCACAAGTTATAAGTGTGTATAAGTCTCTGGCACATATACCATTTCACATAAAACACTCTGTCATTCATTTGATTCTCAGACCAATCCTGTAAAGTAGGCCTGGAAGATTCTTCTTCCATTATCCTTGATGAGGAAAACAAGGCACAAAGGTATTAAGTTTCACAGTAACTTTGATAATCACTCCTATTCCAAATTACAATCCAGGTTTTCTGGCTCCTAGACCATTCCCACCATTTTGTATGGTCCTTTTAATAATGGATTTTTCACTCCTAGGAAAACTAGGGCAGATCTTCACGATGGTAAATATTTACAGATAAGCACAGAATGTGTCTAAAAAACCCCCACACTCTACCAAAAGATTTCTGGAATTTTTTAACCAAACAATGACAGAAGATATCTAGCACCAATTTGTACTTCTAGTATCAAAGGAGAAGCTAGATTTACGTGACAGCTCTAGAAGTTACAATGCAATTAGGAACAATTTAAACAGTAACTTAAAAAGGTGCTTTAACGTGACTGAAAATATTTCAGAGGCTTGTCCCTTTTGTCACCTGTATACTGACAGCCCACAAGGCAGGGTGATACCTCCGAGGGAGAACAGGAAAGTGACGTAGGAAAACAGGATAGGTTAAAAACAAAACACAACCACGACGTTCTCCATCTAAGCACACTTTAAAAACCAGCTACTGAGAAGCAGCCTCGTTTTCCAGGTGAGGTTTGTGAACTGAGGGAACGTGGGATGTCTCTACAGACGAACGTCCAGGAAAACACGGCTCTACGGCAATTTGCCAGTGCTCGGCGGATCCCTAGCACTGTAAATGCTCGTTGGGAACCAACAGTCAGATTTTGAAGTCAATGTTGGGGCTCACTGAAGACCCAACCCCAAGCACACTCCGGCTCCCAAGGGTAGCCCAAACTAGCATCAGGCAAGCGTGGGGGTGTAAGGACGCTTCAGAGAAGGGGGAAATATTATGATGCGAAGAGAGTGGACGCGGCCGGATACGCGGCACAAGGGGCTTGGGACACCCTCACCTCTTCCACACCGAGCCCTCCCTCTCAGGACAACGCCAGCCTCGGCCACCGGACCAGCCTTTCTAGTCAGAGCTGTGCGGCCCAGAGAACGGGCGGAAGGGTTCAGTCTCAGGGAAGTCTTGGGTTAAGAATGCTGTCGCAACGCATCCTGGGAGTTGTAGTTCCTTGGCCTCGGTGACCAGACGCTGTCCCGAGGAGCTGCGGGGCTTCTTGACTACTGTCCCAGGAGCCCCCGCGTGCCATGCTAGGTCATTTCCTTTACTTTCACCCGACCTTCCGCGGTTATCCAAAGGGTCACTTAACAAGACTACAACTCCCATGAAGCTCAGCAAGACGGATTTAGGGAGTAAATAAACAATGAGTCCTATTCTTTGTGTTCTTTCGGGTGAGCAATGGTAATGTGAGGGGCTGGATTTCGGGACCTTTCGGGGATAACCTGAGAGAGTATAGAGGAACTCCAAGGAAAGCGGAACCTACTCTACTCGACGGGCCGGCAAGTTTGAACGGAAGTACCTGGTGGGAGTGGGGAGGAGCCGGAAGTTGAGGCGGGGAGGGGGTGGGGTGGAGGGAAAAGCAAGCCAGGAGGTGCTGCGACCGCTTCTAGTAGTTTCCAGGCGCTGCCGGGCGGCTGGGACCAAGCGGTCCTGAGGCTGTGGCTGCGGCTGCTTGGGAGCTAGTGGGGGCGCGATTGGAAAGCCGATGGCCAAGTGGGGTGAGGGCGACCCACGTTGGATCGTGGAGGAGCGGGCAGACGCCACCAACGTCAACAACTGGCACTGGTGAGGGTTAGCGAGGCAGGCCGCAGGAGCACTGCGACCAGGCTGGGGATTTGGGGATCCTTGAACCTCGGCTGGGGCCCAGGCAGGCCTGTCCTGGGCTGGGGGTGGGTGCTTCCTACGGCAGGCGTTCGCAGTCCCGGGCCATTCCATCCCTGGCCTCCGTCTCTGTTTGGGGCAAAGGGGTCGGCGCAGACCGCTGCGTCCCCGAGGAGGAATTTCATACAGAACAGAACGCCCAAGTTGCTGCATCCAGCCTCATCAGGGAAATGCGTTCTACACGTGGCCAGAGAAGTCAGGGAGACTCCAGCTCCCTTGGGCTATGTTGGGAGATTGCTGTGGAATTGTGGGGCCCAGGGCGCTGTAATTCCTATTTTACGGCTTGCGGTGAAATTAGTCAGTCGTAGGGGTCTGCCGCCTCAGTTCGGAGGGAAAAGGTCCGCAGGTGCACAGAGCGCCGGGATGCTGCAGCCTCTCACCCGGAACTGCTAAGTTGGTTGTGTTGTAACTCCAGGTTGCCGAGCAATCTTGGGTTTTATAGCCTGACCGTTCTTAGAAGATTGCCCTCCTTCATGAAGTCTTCCAGAAGTAATGTTTATTTATCTTTGAACTCTGTTGACCTTTGTTCATAATGTCTACTGTGCTTTTCCTCTGTTGCAGCTATTCTCGCTATTATTTTAAGTTAATGTGAAGGAAAGAAGAGTGATTTTTCTCTATCTCATCCATCTATCTCTTTTTTGCCATACACGAAGTACTTGACCTGATTTTTGTCACTGTTGTTTTTGAAATCTGGACTTAAGTTTTTATGGCCACATAGGGAACCTAGAATGTGTAAGACGTTTATAATAGCACAGCCTAAATCTGATAAGTCAGAACTCTGTACTACTGAAATCACAGTTTGCTCTTTACTGGGCCTTTTAATTAAAACTGTGTTCCGTTTGCCTGACCTCGGCAGCATGTGCAGTTTTCCTTTTGGTCAGATGGGGGCGCCACGTTAAAAAGTCAAGCATCATGCGAGAACTTTCTAGTTAGTTTGTGCCATTCTGTACAGTACTTGTCTTGGTTGATAATATGGCACTTAATGTTTTCCTAATAGTGACATGTTTATGGACATGCTGGAGTGGGACTGAGAGTTTTTGTGGATTTGGTTGGTTTTGTTTTCTCCAAACTATTGGTCAGACCTTTAACCGTGCATTCTCTTACATAGAGCAGTGTGTCCTCAATTTGACTGCTGGTCCATAGCTTTGTGGGGTTTTTTGCAGGACAGAGAGGGATGCTTCAAATTGGTCCACAGAAAAACTGAAAACACTGTTCCTGGCAGTAAAGGTGCAAAATGAGGAAGGCAAGTGTGAGGTGACAGAAGTGAGTAAGCTTGATGGAGAGGCATCCATTAACAACCGAAAAGGCAAACTTATCTTCTTTTATGAATGGAACATCAAACTAAACTGGACAGGTAAGTATTTGCTGGGCTGTCAAAAAATTAACTGCATTTCCATTGACCATGCTAGAGAGCTGGAGAAAACAGTTTTTGAGCAATTAGGAACTCTTAAAGGGACAAGTCAACGTTGCTTTTGAGTACATCAGTATTAGGTGCTGAAATTGCTCTGCCACTTGGGATCCTAAATAGAATCCCTTACTCTCTGGGTTTCCTGAGTTCCACTAATGAAGTGGCTGGGCACTGCATCCTTGGGCCTTGAGTTGGGATACATAATGTCCTGTTTCCTCAGGCTGGCAACCTTTGTCTTGTGAAAAGAGGAGGGAGTTTTGTTGTTGTTGTTGCTTTTTTGATTTTTGTTTTGTTTTGTTTTGTAGCAGGGCTTGAACCCAGAGGTACTTTGTCACTGAACCAGCCCTTTGTATTTTGAGACAAGGTCTCCTAAGTTAGTTAGGGCCTTGGTAAGTTGCTGAGGCTGGCTCTGAACTTGCGATCCTTCTGCCTTAGCCTCCCAACACATGTGCCACTGTGCCCAGCTTTTGTATATATTGTTTTAGTTGTAGATGGACACTATGCCTTTATTTTGTTTATTTTTATGTGGTGCTGAGGATCAATCCCAGTGCCTCACACATGTGAGGCAAGTGCCCCACCACTGAGCCACAACCTCAGCCCCATGCCCAGCATTTTAAAATAACAGTCTGCCCCCACCCAACTGTTCCCCAGTGCTAGTGATTGAACCCTGGGCCTTGGGCTTGCTAGATAAGCTAGACTGAGCTGTAGCGTCTGCCATTTCTCTTTGCAATGTGAATCTTCAGTGGACCACTGTGTTGATGAAATTTATATATGACTAATTTGGAGTTGTATTATCTGTCTTCTTATTTAAAATATCTCTTCTGTGGCAGTGTTAGGAAAGAATTGAGGTGATGTGTATTTACCACTTGGATGATCCTAACAATTCAAAGGCTGAATTTTAAAATGCATAAAGCTGAGCTTGGGATGTGGCCCTGTGGTAGGGTGCTTGCCTAGCATGTTCAGTCCCCAACACTGTAAAAACAAATAACCCCATAAAGCTAAAGAAGTATGAGATAGCCACTCTGTCTGGGATAAAGCATGAATAAATTTGCACTTCGAATTTTTCCTCAAGTGAATGGAAATAATAAAAGAGAGTGAAAATATATAACTATGTTCATGATTTTGGTTTTTAAACTATATCTAAACTCTAGAAGGTACCTCATATTTTGCCCTGTCCTCTTTTTATAGTTTGAGAAACTTAAGCCTCAGAGAGGTGAAGGTGAATGTTGGTTAACTTTGAAAGTCAGTTTTGCTGTAGTTCAACATGTGTTCTTAAAAGTTGGTGCACTGCAAAAATCGTTCAATAAAAACCAAGTTTAAAAGGAAGATGAGACTAGGGACACCATACCCCATAACTATCAGTAACACAGTTTTACGTGTTAAATGAGAATATGTAAATTCAATAAGAAATATGTTGTCTCACCTTGAAAAAACCTAAAGTTTCCTTGTGGTATTGGAAATCAGAGAGGTTGAACTGAGGGCTGTTGTGAAGTGGTGGAGAGACAGTCATGAAATCAGAAGGAATGTTCCAACACAAGCTGTGTATGGTTGTGGCTTATAGCATGCAGTAAACTCAGGTCATGGGTGGGTAGATCTTTGAGATGTGTGTTTTATGTATTTGTGTGCTGCTTGATTCAGCTTTGTGTAGTTCTCTGTGTTTGCCTAGTATTGCTCTTGTATGGAATCACATAGAAGCAAATATGAAATTCTCATGATCAAATTGTTCTCTATATAACTATCACATTGGAATAACATTATCTTTTCAAAGCAAATGTTCTAGCAAAACTGACTGAATTGGCTCTTGACCCAAGTTCTCCTTGGTAAAATTCATGCTAGTGCCCAATCTGTGTAGCTCTTGGTTCTATACTGTAATAACACAGTTGGCCTCCAATAATCAGGTGAGGAAAAACTTTGGGATAGGGGTTGTGGATTGTATCTGGCATGTGGCATTCTCTCAGAACAAACAGTTCAGCTATCTAGAACATTTAGAACAGAGACCTCTCCTATGAAGCAAACTAATGACATTGCTTTTGACAGGCACTTCCAAGTCAGGAGTTCAGTTCAAGGGACATGTGGAGATCCCCAATTTGTCGGATGAAAACAGCGTGGACGAAGTGGAGGTTTGTGCTTGCTGACTCCTTATCAGAGTCCTCCTTTTCCTCTTATTCTCAGATGAGAAAAATGACCTGTCATTCAAGTTAGTAGCCCAGACTTCATCCATACATTCAGAACTGCAGTCTGCAGATAATTTTCTAGGTATATGATGTCATTGGATGCTTCCAGAGCAACATGCACTTATTTAATTTCTTTTTTTTTTTAGCTAGTGAAATGGATTCTAATACTGGCCACCTTTGCCTTAGCAGAAGGACTTGAGAAGGAACACTAATAGGGATTGTCTGAATGCTCCAAGCCTGCACATTTCCTTTGGAAATGGTCAGCAGTTATCTGATTGCTCAGTGCCCACGTTCCATGATGTGGGTGTCCCTCAAGTTATTTACCACTTACTTCTGATCTTTCACCCAGATCAGTGTGAGCCTTGCCAAAGATGAGCCTGACACAAATCTCATGGCCTTAATGAAAGAAGAAGGGGTGAAACTTCTAAGAGAAGCAATGGGAATTTACATCAGCACCCTCAAAACAGGTATCCCTTGAGCAGTTATGTGTGCCTTGAGGAGGCAGTCTTCCCCTTGTCACTGAAGGACCTGACTGTCCTGTTTTTGGCAAATGAGTCAAGATTTGGGAGGAGTGGGCTTATTTTCATCTCCAATCTGTAAGTTCTGAGTAAGAGAAAGCTGTAGAACTTCATTGTCTAATATGTAAGCTATTAAACTCTTGAACTGTGGCTAGTCCAAATTGAGGTGCTGTGCATTTAAA